TGGACCGTTCGAATCGGTATATGTGCCAAAGCGCTATTTTCCGTTTTTTGAAGTATATCTATCCGTAACTTCTAGTTTAAATATATGATGAAAATGAAGTCGAATTTTGGATGTTGTTTTAAACAAAGTTAATGTAACTATTAAGTTAGAGTAAAAAGAAGATAAATTTTAAATATTTCTTGAGCTAAAAATTTTTACAAAATTTTCTTACAAAAAGAAATTTCTTACAAAAAAGATTTCTTTTTTTTTTGGAAACGGTGAATAGTACACTGAGTAGAAGCTGTCGAAGAGAAAATGTGCAGCTGTTGTAACCTTCGGTTTAGTAAATGAAACGGCGTCATTGACAACGATCATGACAACGATGACTGTATCGCAGTAATGGAGCTACTACCTTTGTTGTTGCAGCAGCGCGACTCATCAATTCAAATTTTGCTGATATTTTTTCATTTAAACAAGGCAAAATAATCCAATTATGAGTTATAGACTGAATGAACGGATACTGTCAGTAAGTTTACCAAATGGAAAAAAGTTAATGTTGTTGAAAAAACAATTACTCACCACCATGTTTAACTTTTTTCTGATTTTAAATCATAGAAGTTTTTTTTAATTCGAAAATATGTTTATCATTTTGATAAAAAAAATTTTGAGCAAGCTAATGCAAAATGAAAAAGTGAGAAAAGAATGGATGAGACAACAGCGCAGTAATCAGTGAGATTGCTGATCGATCATTCGCGCTATTGTCAAATATTTGATTTGAGTGATGCTACGATCATACTTGATCTTAATTCCCGGTTTATTTCCTTCAAATCTGATGATATATTTTATTTATTTCTCATACTACTATGAATATTTCATCGTATCAATTTGAAATTGAGAAGAATAAATTTAAAATGTGATGTATGCAACGAAAAAGTGCACTACTTTGTGAATTTTCTTATAACACAAAAGTAGGTGATGAAAATTTCTCAATAAATTCCATTGTTACTAACCAATACTTCCTCATATCATATAGTAAATTTTTAAATGATTTTTAATTCTTTATTCCATTCATCTTCTATTTGCATCTTTCTTTGTAGTCATATGTAAATAAAGTAATGCTAAGATGTCATTAAATAGTTGAATACGAACCAGTCAGTATATCACAAAGAAATATTACACTGTGCAATGACAATCACTGTAGAAGTACAAATTAGTTGAATTATTAATTAGTAACAACAGAATCATTCGTGTTAAGAAAGATGGCAAAGTTAATTAATTGATTGATAGTGCATTCTGAATCTTCGTGATCTGAACTTCATACTTCTCGATTCAATTCTCAGGAATAACTTTCTATTTAAAACAAAGAAAGAAAAAGTATATAAATAAAAAATGAAACAATTAGTAAGTTTGAAGAATATAATAAATTAATTTTATTTTGAAAAAAGAAGAGTTAATAATTGGTTCAATAATTTAAAAACTGTAACTAAGTAAATGAGTGGAATGGCTCTGAAATATACAAATGCCGGAAGAAGGAAGAAGAGAGAAAGTACCACCGTATGTCCAAATTTAGGTAGGTAACAGATATATCGATTGGTATTCTTTTAATCAGAATTGAAAATTAATTGTTATATGGAAATAAATAGTTAATGCTAACGTATCACTACTATAAGTGTACGATTTGCAAGAAATTTGATAAATGATAATTTTCTTTTTCTTGGCGATAAATTTCGAGTTTTTTTATTTCTTAATTTTTATCATTTGATTAAAATTAAAGAGGAGTTTTAGAAGAAATTGGAGGATAAGATAAGAATAGATAAAAGAAGCATATCACTGATATTTTATCTTTTCGAAAGAATCGAAGTCAATACAAAAATAATTGTTTTAAAATTTGTTTAAGAAATCTCACAAGCTTTCTATTTAGGCTAAAAGCAACAAGCGGCAGCTGCTGAAATTATTATTTTAAGGAATATTACTAAACTTTGCCCTACTCTTTTCAAAACTATTATAATTCCATGCAGAAAATATGAATTTGAAACTTAATTCCATTAAGTCTAAACATGTTTTTTTATAGATCAATTATTGATCATTTATTCTATTAATAAATATACAAAATTCAATAGATAAAACATTGAATTATGAATTTGAAAAAGACTTACCGTAGTGCCATTTATTTTTGAATTCGTAACTTCCAGTGGATGTGGACTTTCATTCCGTTTATAGGTGCATTTTTCATTCATTAATGCTATCCGTTGATCCGTTCCCAATAAATGAATGGTTTGATCAGAATTGATTTGTTCAGTGTTGTAACTCCAATTATGAAAAGGAGATACTGATTGTAGCTCATCTTTCAGGTCCTCAGCTTTTGGATGATAACAACAGAGAAGATTTTTCAACGGTTTTCCATCCATTACTAGACGCTTATTAATGACCAATGTGATTACAATTCATGTCAAACCAAAGGCACAAGTTTTATTTTATCTACAAAAAATATTACATAATTAAATTGCTATTGAATTGTCACTTTATCAACATGCGTCATTAAAACACAATAGTATTTCCTAATACTTTAATTTTTTATTTTCATAATGTCTTTCTGTTATCATTTATCCTTATCAATATTATATTATCAGAGTAATATGATATTATCTGTTAGATAGCTTTAGGAATTTGACCAAACTTAAGCATATTCAAATTCTTGTGATAAGCCAGTTAGCTCTGATATCAATGGAACTTATCTGTCAAACATAAGAAATCATTTCCATTCACTGTAAGAAACAAATGATTATTATTACTCTCATTTAATTTAAGAAAATTTTATGAATTTAAGAGTATTTAATCTTTTCAGTTTATTTTAAACAATTTGTAAGAATTTATTTACTGATTTCATCACTGAACAGTAGCATTTTCAACAAATATAAAGTTTTTACCTCAAAATGTTTCAATTGAATTGTTTAATTATTTAATTATTTAACTCAAACAAATTCTTTCAACAAAATTTTCAAATTTCTAAAAATAAAACATTTCATATATTTAAGAAATTAAAGCTTTTAATATAAATATAAATAGTTTTTATTGAATTGTTATCATTAAAAGCTGAAATTATTCAACTATTTCATTGAGAAAATATATTAAATATTAATTAGTGAAAGATATTATTTAACTATTCTTCAAATATTTCTCGAATCTATTCTTACTAATCGAGGAAAGAACTAACGAATTACGAATTTATCGAACAAACTTAACAAATCATTGAACTATAACTGAAAGAACGAAATTAGGACAAAGTAATTAACGTTTACTTATATTAATACTTTACATTGTTTTTATCAGTGTAAACTTTCACAGCTTTATCAAAATTTGTTTTATTTTTTGTGTTTCTTCAACTCTTTCTTCACCTTCAAAAGTTTCTTTAATTATTTTCTAAAGTGTATAGTTTCTTCGTTAATTAAAACAATGCTTAAATGAAATGAAATGAAATTTAAACTGTAACAATTTGAAAAATGATATGGAATTTAAAGTAGTTACTGAAAGATTGAATAAAAATCTATTTAAAAAAAAAGTAAATATTGTTGAAAAATGATAATAAACAAAAGTTTGAAAAAGATTTCAAAGTGATAAAAACAGCATCGGCAATAACAACTGGAAGAAATAGAAAGAAGATAAGCAAAAATACTTACTGCTGGTAATGATGATAGTTTGCCGCGGGGCGCTTATAATGTATCCAGACAGTTGTTGCTTTGTTACATCACGTTACATTGCACCTTCATAACACCTCCAATTAAACTCGTTTTTATAGTTCTCAAAGAAGGATAATCTAGATTTTATTTTAAATTTAAATTTATTATTTATATGCAAATTTATTATTTATATTTAAATTTATTATTTATATGAATAGATGATAAAATTATTTTATATATGAAGACAATAATATAATTAAACGATAACTGAAATAAGATTTTTATTAACAAAAGATGAGATTATAAATTTAATCCAATTATTGATAATTTATCAAAGGATCAGTTATAGATAGCCTTTTTGTTTACGTTCAAATGCAACAATAATTCATTATATCGACCATACACATATTAATTGCTTTTTGTTTTGTTTTGTTTATAACATTGATGATTAAAAGGAATTATTTTAAATCGCTACTTTCTATAATCATTTTTAGAAGCTAAATTTGGTTCAATGAATGAGCGCAACTGAAGCAATTTCATTTAAGTTAGGAGCAGAAGTCATTTTGTTCACGACATTTCTAAGTGAAAATTTAATAGTTTAATTGATATAAGTGATGAATGATTATAGTGATAGAATAGAGTATTAGATTGAGTACTATAGACTAAAGATTAATGCTTTATAGAAGATGAATGAGATAGTGTTAGAATAGAGTATTAGATTGAGTAATACAAAGTAAAGATTAATGCTTTACTTCAAAAATCAGTCAATATGTGGGATAGTGTGAATAGTTGTATTTATCATCAACAGAGAATGATCTCATCTAAGGAAATCATATTATCATTTTGAACGATAAAATCTGACGAATTATACGACACCACAAAATTCAACATCACTTTTAAAGTATTTTGTTGAAATCATTGAATATAATCAAACTTTGATATGTCAATTTCTATTTTAAGTGCTATTTCGATATTATTGACATATTATATAACAAAATTTGCATATATGTTACAGTAAGTAAATCGGTTTTGAATTTCATTCGAATATTATTTTATTTCATACGGAATGCTGAACAGACCGGAAATAATTAATCCAATAAAATGAGCAAATGCGTATAGCAGCACGATGTAAAATTAAATCTTAATTATCGTTTGTTAAGTTTAATTAATAGTTATTTTTAACATAAATATATCATCCTTAAAAGTCGAAGAAGTTCCATAGAAATGCTTAACGAAGAAAAATAAATGGCAACTGAAATGAAAAGTAATACAATGTTATTATTACCAAATATAAATGGAATAATAATCTTTTAGAATTTGTCAATAGTACGGGGGAGCAATCAATTATTCAACAGTTGTTTCGGCTATTTTGGGAATGGATATTTTTATTACGGATATATTCTCCACTGGTATTTCTTCTGATGTCAGTGGTATGTCCTCTGGCGGATGTATTCGTTTCAATTTCTGCAATAGCATATGTGGTTAAAACTATAAAGATAAAATTTTTTGAAAATCCATCAATTTCAAACACATGTTTTGAAATCTATAATTTAACGGCTCAAATTTAAAATATTATGCTATAATTACAATATTGAATATGTCAGATATATTTCAGTTTTTTTTATTAATTTATTCATTTAGTTAAAGTAATTCTCAGCCGGGTTACTTGTTAGTAAAAAATACAGCTCATAATAGAAGACTAAATATTATTTTAATATCTTCTAACAGTAACAAGTAATTCGAAAATAATGCTAAGGTTTATTTTAAGCTATAATCATTTGATCGGAATTATTATATAAAAATGATATCAGTCGTTTTGCTCAGGTACTGTCCCATATTAAGCATTTTATGTCAAACTCAGTTATTCTAAAACAATTCGATCAATTTCGCTAATCAGCTCAATCCAAAAAGCGCTCTATGCACTTCAACAATTTTATCTCATACTATTCGATATACTTTTTGAAAACTTTTACCTGTTCATTTGGCAAAATGTTTGAGCTTTCAGCAGAAGTAATATGAAGGAGTATGCCATCGACAACATTATTGCTGGGAACAATATCCTGCTTATCCTGCACTGATTTTATCGATTCATTGCTCAAATCATATGATTGTGATTGTGAACCTCCCATAATCTTCCCTTATCCAATTTTAGGTACTTAAAAATAAATTTTACTTTTAATTAAATAATCGACGAAGGTAACAGAAGATATTCGTTATATCATATATAAAAATGGAACAAAGATTTTCAAATTCTAATTCAAGCATAAACATTATTCTGAATTCCTTCAATGTTAATAGCAATCTTATCAAATTTCAATCATTTCGAAATGCTAAAAAAACCATAAAAAACCGTATGGTTTTTTTAAACTGTGAATAAACCGCAAACTGTGAATCTGTCATAATTTTCCCTTATCAAATTTCGGAAAATTTAAAAATACAGATGAAGTGAATATATGAAAAACTGAAGCTGCTCGGTTTTATTTCGTAATCGTTGGAAGCAATTTACAAATTTAGCCAGGATAATTCTTCCAAGAATTCTGGACTTATAACAGAGAATGAATCATTTCTCATATCATGTCAGAGGTCAAGTAATGAGAAATGAATTAAAATGTTAGCTGATTTTTGAAGATATCACTTTTATATTTGAATAATGCAAATTTTGCTTAACATATAAATCATTCCAAACTATTAACGGCAAACAGAGCGCTTTATATAAGAAGCATCATGAAAAGCATGGAAAATGAAATTTAGTGATAACATGGCATAAAGCATTGTGAAGTTTTATTTTCAACATGACAAAATTTTCCTGAAGAAATTTCGAGCTTCACGATAGCAATAAATGATGATTCATTGACGTTATCGAGAATGGGATAAATCATTGACGTTATCGAGAATAGTGATAAACGATGATTCATTAACACTATCAACTAGAAAATAATCTATTCTCCGTCAATATTAATGTATCGTTTCAAATTTGCAACTGTAAATACATTATGAAGAAAGCATTCACAACTAATCATATACAAATAATTCGTTATGATTATTGAATTAACAGTAAAAGAAAGCTTAATTACAAAAAATTTGATTGGCCTTTGATGGTTTTTCTACAATTATGCAACAACTGGGTGTCAACTTCTTGCATATTTTCAGTTAACGCAGAAAACGTGTCACTTCCTTATCTTCCGAACCTTTTGAACTTATTTTTTGAGAAGAAAAAATCTGCGTTAACCGCTTAATTTAAAATTTCACTATCATAATTTGATTGCTTCCCATATCGTAATGAACAGAAAAAGAGACCCGTAAAACTGACAAATAACAGAGTAGAAGAACTGATCAATGTTGCAATCGAAAAACTGATATGATATGAGGAGGTCGTATTTATCAGTTCCAATATGATTAAAACAAACAGTGTAAATCGATGACTAATATAAAAAATGCGCTAACTTAAAATTTTTGATGTCATAGACAATAAGGTGAGAAATTGCTAGGACACAAATTGGTATAATTTTTAAAACATGTAAACTGTGATGAATCATAAATAAAATAATGAATCATATGAAATTAATCAAAGATCACTGCTTATACATAACTTTCCCTTTCTGGAAAAAAGAAGTTAAAAAGCGAATTTTATTAAAAATATTGAAAAGATTTAACTATTCATGTATAGATATCATTTGGCTCAAAATGTATGTTATGGATATTTCCGCACAATTATCATCATTCTATACAATAAAAAATAGAAAATATGTGAGCAACACAACATCACCAAACTCAGCAAGCTATATGATTGAACTTTAAGAAATTTACATACTGTGCAGACTCTAACTGATACACATATACACACATACATACGTACATATAAATATTAACATTCATACAGCCATACATTATTGCATACATATTTTGTTGTGAATCATAAATACAAACATTGTTATTGTTTCATTACAACAAACATATCCTATTGAAGTTATGCTTGTAAAATTTTATGAAAGTAAGATAGAAGATAATTACCTGAGAATTTGTTTCACCTGAGAATCTATTCCACTAGGACTAAATAACCGAAAAACAATGCAACTAGCATTTAGAGGTAATAGCATACATGCATAATTGGCATGTCAATGGAAATTTATCATTCTGGTCTTTGGCTAATTTACTGCTCTCTCTCTCCCTCTCTCTTTCTCTCTACTTTCATTTGCAAAACTGAAATTCTTTTAATTAAAAAAATTTAAATTTTGAAAATTAATATAATTTTCGTGAAATTTAGTTCTCGTAAAAAAAAATGCTGAATTGTGGAAATTTTATAAATTGTTGAGTTTATTATCAGTTAGTGATAAATACAAATTTATCATAAAAATATTCATTGGCAACAATGCTAGTAAGCAATTCATTACTTACACACTCAACATGAACTTTCACCTTTTCATTTCTCTTTTTTAATTAATTTTAGAGAATAAATAGATAGAGAATAAGTGCAAGTTATCAAAATATTATCTTATCAAACTGCCGATAAAATACTAATAGTTGCAATTCCTGGCACGAAACATCACTTGGCCATAATTCTATTTCATGTAATTCTCCTTCTTGTCTTCTATTATCATCTAGTGATATAACTATTGTTAAGTGCTATATCAATAACGCAGTATTTCAAATTTAAAGCCAAAATTTAAATTCATTTTTATTAAATGATAATATCTCTTTTACATATATACATTGAATGGAAAATTTGCTCAAAATTCTCGTACGAGGGGTGAAGTATTTTTTGATGAATAAATATTAGCTGTTACTAATTATGCTTGTAAGTTTTATTCATCAAATTATCAGAATTGGATATAATCTCAATCATACAGATAATATCGATGATTACAATACATTATGATTGGAACAAAAAAATTTCGATTTTAAATTATTGTTTGAATGTCTTTAATTCTTAAACTTTATTTATGAAATTAATCTTCAATCACAGAGCTTGTGATAAGATCTGATATAAAAAATGATCCTTCTATATTCATTCTACAGGCATTCCTTCATCATTCTAAACTATTCTTTATGTTATTTCAAATGTAACTGTCAACTTAAACATTTAATAAAATAACTACAATACACAACTTTAACATCCTGAATTAAAATTAAATTTCGGCTCAATTTTAACTTGGAATTAATAAATTTATTAACTTCACAATCTAATTTTGATATATTGTTGAATTTCCTCTTCCCGATCATCTCATATTTCTTCGTAACTCTTACAATCTTCTCACTAGTGATATCATTTCCATAAGATCGAAAAGGAAAATCGATCAAAGAAACCATTAAATGGTTACGCTACCGATCTATCTAATAAACGGATAAAAATGAAAAAAATATGATAATTAGAGTTCTTCCAATAGATTACAATAATTCAAATGAATTAGGGATATATGAGAAAGTAAATTTATGAGTTTATTTTATTAAAATACATGGCTGAAAAAGGAATTTCTATATTCCGAAAATTCTCGATCATATGACCTTTGACTTTATTATCTATCCTATTAAGAAGCTTTCAATTTTTAGCCCTTTAATGTTACAATTTATATCACAAATATAAGATTAGAAAAGCAAAGTTTTGTTTATGGAATGTTACTGTAAAGTAACAATATAATTCAAATTTAAAATTCTATCAATTTGGGATTGAAATTTGATGAAAAGAACTGCCTGCCATTATCCATCAATTCCTTGTAATCAATAACTCCAATAACTCATTCTAAAGTCTGCCATATATATTAACTAACCTAAATTTTTTTAAAAAAAAAAGCCTAAGTTTATAAATACTTTTAAAATTTCTATTTACTAATTCCGTACAATTTGAGATTTTTAGAAATCGAAATGCTTTATTCATGGCATTCCAAAAAATTGATTGATATCACTTTTTGATTACAATCATTACCTTTTATTTAACAATTGTATGACGCACGCTTATCAATCAATGCACGACTGTCAAACAATGCTATCAGTCTATTGCGGGACATTAATCTTCGAAGAGTATTTTACGCCGATCCATTACTTTCCTCCAGGGAATTTTAATCTGATAATATATTGGGATTATTACGAAGAAACAAAGTTGCTGATGAATTAATTAAATTATCAAAATGTATCTGATATCATTGTAATTAATAAATAAATAGTTTTAAAATTTAATCACTTTTAGTGTTGAATATCCATTCCTATCCTAATCTCATTTCATAACAATGTTATAATAGGTCATTTCTTTTTTTCATAGTTTTATTTTTAGAATTTATGATTTTCAATTTAGGCTTAAGATGTTCGAATTCATACCTTACCTTCAGCACGTGAAATTTATCAGTGAAATGATATGAATGGATGAAAGAAGAAATGGCTGAGAAGCCGCATCTCTTCAATTTCAGGCATCACTTTAGACAAAAATAAGAAGAGATGGTGAAAATATGAGCAGTGAAGAAGATATCACGAAGAAATTTATCTCTCTCTATCGTTCTCCCACCCTTTTCCTTTATTTTAAATAAATTTCAAGGCAACTGTGCTTCTTCCGTTACTTCTCATAATCCTTCTTCAGTGATTGTAATTCTTTTTATTGATTTAATTTTTGCCACATTTGGAATAACAATTTTATGTACAACTATTTCTCATTCTTAAATCTCATCTTTTCTTTTTTTTGAATTATTCTTACATAAACTTCAATTTGAATAATTTGAATAATAAGGTAAATAATTATAGGTCATGCATACCTGAATTCAGTAAGAATATTTCATCATAATTTTATTACAACTCTGTTTTATACTAATTAGACAAATTAAATTATGATAATCGTTATCAATGAGAAAAGAAATTGAAATTCTTCTAATAAGTTATCAAGCTTTATACTCAATTTAGAATTGTTATCATGTTTATTGTTTGAATTTTACTAAATCATCATATTTGCATCTATAGTTCTTCGATTGTTGTAAAGATTAAGATATCATACTGATAAAAGAAAAATAAAAAACGCAAATGGATCACTTTTGATATAATTACGTCTAGGTTATTTACATCTCTGGCATTTAAATTTAATAAAATTTTTTCCAACTAAATTATTCACTTTATATCATATTAAGCATTTGCGATATTTAATTACCACAAGCTATCAGTATGAGCACACTAATTGAACTGACTATGAACAACAATGCAGAATAACATGGTCAATCTTATCGAACGACAAATTTCCTTATTATTATTGCTGATATCAATGATGTACTGCAATGAAGATGCAAAACGATTACATGATGATTTAATGGCAAATTACAACAAACATCGAAGACCAGCTCCAGCAGCTAATAAACCGATAACTATCAAATTAAAATTACGACTCTCACAAATCATCGATGTAGTAAGATACTATTAAAATTCCTGTTTATTCATTCCTATGAGTTTATCCTAAATAAATACTTTTTTCAAGCATCAATTTGCTTTCAAATTTATATTACAGGATATGTCCGTATCTTTTCCTTTCTTTCCTCCTTTCCTCTTCTTAAAATTTTCTTCATATGTTTCAAACGGACGCCAACGTTAAATGATAACGCATGTCACTTCAAACTACTTTAATTGATATTAACACTAATAAAAGTATCAAATTCAATGGAAACTATACTTTTCTGTAGTGTTCAAATGATACCTTCTTTCTTTCTTACACAAAAATTTTCAAATCCTATTTAGCATGAAATTGATCAGATAATGACATGCAGTATTTGGCTCAAACAAGTATGGATAGACAGAAAACTTTCTTGGAATCCAAAAAATTACGGTGGCGTGAGTGTACTGTATGTACCGTATGAAATGATTTGGGTACCTGATATTGTCCTCTATAATAAGTAATAATTTTTATTTATTTGATATTTTTTGAGAGAAATTGAAGATGATAATATAAATAAATTAAATGATATTTATTGATTGATTCAAAACTTTACTTTTTCAATGTTAATTTAAACATTAAAAGTTTATCATTGAGTTAAACTAATATGCAATGTATTTCATTGAATAATAATGGACAGATAAATTAAGATAAAAAGATACCTTACAATTTCATATGACAAAATTCATTTTCGCATTTTTTTAAAACAAATCATTTTTAGTGCTGATAATAATTATAACATAACAATCAGCACAAAAGCAACTCTTCGATACGATGGTGAAGTGACCTGGGAACCACCAGCTATTTTTAAAAGTTTATGTCAAATTGATGTCAGATGGTATCATCTTTTTTTTCTTCTTTACCCGAAATCAATACAATCATCAAACTATTATTTGTTGATCTTTCCGCTGAATAAATTAATAGCGGTTTAATTTCATTAAGAAAGAATGAAACATAAGCAACATTTAAATAAATTCTATGTTTAAAATTAGTAAATATTAACATAAGCTCACTTACAGAATAAGATTAAAAAATAAATAATTATTACAGGTTTCCCTTTGATGAGCAGCGCTGCCATTTTAAGGTAATTGTTTTTCTGTTTTATAATTTATAAATGTTAGAGGGAAAAGTTTCGAATGTTCTTTTTAAAAAAAGAAAGAAAAATCTTTTGAGATTAATTAAAAAAGAACTTATTGACAGTTTGGTTCTTGGACTTATTCACAAGATTTATTGGATCTGGAATTATTAGGCGGTGAGCCATATTATGAGCTTGAAATGAATGGAAATGGTGAAATGGATAATGTCACCATTGTTGAAGATGGAATTGGTAAATTATTTTTCTTACAAATTATAATTATTTCATTTAATAATTTTAAATTTAATATATCTCTTAGAATTTAAAACTGCTTTTATTACTAATAAAAATAAATCGATATGACGAAAAACAATAATGTTTGTTGCACAATTTATTGTTTAGAAATTCAAATATTTCATATTTAATTAACAACATATCACAAATCATTCATTCATTAACAATTAAATTTCAATTGCTGTTGCATGAAATGAGAAAAATATATCATATGGTATAATAAGTGGTTTTATAGAGTGTAGTAATAATAACATTAATCGATCATACTTATTTCCCTCAAACTTTATATATCATATCAGATCTTTCGGACTATTATCCATCGGTAGAATGGGATATCATGTCACGAGTGGCAAAAAGAAGAACTAAAAATTATTCGAGCTGTTGTCCGGATGAAACTTACGTTGATATTATGGTAAATTTATTTTAGCTTTTATATCAAAATTTGTTACTCTTTTCAAAATTCCTCAGTCATATATTTTAATTTTCATATCTTCCGCTTAATGATGCAATTATTTTTTTCCCATAATAAACAATTGAATAAATTAGAAAAACAATTCATTAAATTATTCTAATTGAAAAATGCGCCATAAAATAATATTTTAATTTAAATTATAATTCATAAATTGCAGTATTATTTGGAATTACGCCGGAAACCATTATTTTATACGGTAAATTTGGTTTTCCCATGCGTTGGCATATCATTTCTTACCGTTCTCGTTTTCTATTTACCATCACATAGCGGTGAAAAAGTTACTCTTTGTATATCAATTCTGGTTACCTTAACTGTCTTCTATTTATTGTTGGTTAGTTTATCACAATTCAAAAAAATTTTCTTCAATTTCACCATTTTTTCTTTTATTAGTAAATTTCTGATTAATATAAAAATAATAATTTCCAGACAGAAATTATCCCTGCTACCAGTATTAGCTTACCATTAATTGGTAAATATTTATTATTTACTATGGTTATGGTAACACTTAGCGTAATAGTCACTGTTATATGTTAGTTATCATTTTTGAATTCTTTTTTAATTTATTAAATTTATAAAATTTGAAATGTAATAAATAAGATTGTTGAATAAATGATCATTCATGAAATTATGATTCAAAAAATGAAGATAATTATAAGATTTCGAGATAATTGCGCAATCTTTTCAAAATATGACTATAATCAATCATCAACAATTGCTTCATTGCAAATATTTCTGATCGTCTTTTTTCTCTCACATCCATTTCTATATTATATTCCGTAATGCAGTTTTCATTCCGGAATGATGAAATATAATTGTGATTAGAAGAATATTTAATTTTTAATTGATTAGAAGATTATTTAATTGCTTATTTTTTTTATCTTCTATACATGAGCAGTTCAAATTTTTGAAGAATATTGCTTATTGCTAGCCTTACCTTAATACTGTAATATTTAAGTCAAATTTTTTTAAACTTTAGTGGAAATGATAGAGGTGAAATTAGTAAGAATAAATTACAGCTCTGAATTTGCATTTTCGAAAGCCTACGACGCATCGCATGCCTGAATGGGTAAAGTGGTTTTTTCTTAAAACATTACCCAAAATATTATTTATGAGACGACCAATGAATGATGCAAACGATTTATTTTGTAAAGGTAGGATCAGAAGCGGAAAATTGTATCACTTTTTACTATTAGAGACTTAAATTTAAGAATAAATTCAAGATAGACAGATCAATGATTGGCATAAGATTTATTTAGGCCCTATTGTCAACATTCATAGCATTGAAAAAATTTCAATGACTTGATTTTGAGCCAAACTGAAATTTTTTACTTTCCATTTTCGATTAGTAAAAGGCAATCTTTAAAGTTTTCCAGAACAGAAGCAGTTATTAAAATATCATTTGTAGCCATCGAGCAGGCGAAACTGATATTCTTTTTCTCGAGAAAGGGAGTCAAACATAGCATTATCTACAATTAACTTTATAGATGAACGGATAACAATGAACTATCATGAACATACAGTGAGTGGAGATGGTGGAAGTTTGATTCCGACTGAATCGAATGAACAAATTCAGAAGATATACCATTCACCCCATGTAGTAAAAGCATTTGAAAATATCTGCTTTATTGCCGAATTGCTCAAGAAAAAAGACAGAGATGCTAAAGTGTGTAGTTTTCGGTCGTCTAATTTTCTTTGTCACGAAGATTCTAAAAGCCTGACTGGATATGTTCTAGGAGACCTGAATGGATATTTTCAAAGAGGGCATCTTATTATAGTTTAGACATTGCAATAGCAATATTATAAACAAGCCAAAAATTTACGCCATATCATGTTGGTTAACTGATAAGAGGTCATTTGAAAGAATGAGTGAATAAAACGAAATGTTGAAATGATTTCAATATTTTAACAGTTACTAGCTGCAAAAAAAATCTTGACTACCCGAAGTCTTAGAGAATTTATTTCTTTAATTTGGAATAAATTCAGATGGACGAAGATTGGAATTACGTTGCAGTGGTACTAGACCGATTATTTCTATTACTTTCTTCAATTGCATGTTTCGCAGGAACCATTACAATTCTTCTTCAGGTAAATTTAACTTTCTAGGATTTTTTAAATCTTTTAACCGATGGATGTAGAATTAATTTTCTAAGCCTGAACTTAACTAATGGAATACATAAAAGTATAGGTGTGTATTTGTTAGGCTTAAATCAAGCACAAGCCTAAAATACATTTGTTTCTTATTACCACGCTAATGTCTGCATTAAAACATTTCTTATTGCAGGCACCAACACTCTATGACAGTCGACAAGCCATCGACTTGCAATATCGACCCACAAATATTACTTAAAGAAGATACGGAATATTTCTGCAACACATTTATCACTAAATGCTCTCTTTTCATATTTCCGGACAGTTTTTCAAGCTTACAACATTTTGATAAAAATTTATCGATAACAACGCACACTTCTACATATATGGAATATGATTTAATAATTAGATTATGATTTTTCAACTATGCTAAGGAAGTAAGAAACTTTTTGATAAAGCTAAATTAATTATTATACAATTATTTCCTGAAAAGAATCAATAATTAGGACTTTCTGAATAAAAACAAAGCATCTATGACATGTATAATATTAAATAAATGATGAAAAAGGAACGGCATTGCTATTTTTGGTTCGTTCTTCCTTTTTCCGGTCGATGCAGGCCTTTCTTTATGGGATTGACACTGCATTTCAAAAACGGATGAGAGAAATGAATAATTAGCGAAAAAGAAAAAACAGAGAAATCAATTTCTTAATTTTATCTTTTGGTTTTTATGCCATTCAACTTCAGTAATTCCAACTTCAAACTTTAAATTGCAATCAATTATATAACTTTAAATGTAAGTGATGTAAGTGATATTGATTGATTCATTCGAGAGATACAGTAATCAAATGATGCCATATCCAAACAATTGGTAGTAAGATGTTAGAAAGCGATCGGTAAGGGAAGTAATAGAACGGAATAAGAATAGGAATTCTGTTTCTTGTTTGATTAACATTCATTTCCTGAAATTACAATGGTAATAATCTTCCTAACTTTCTTAACTCAATTGAACCGTATTATCCAGCAGATCAATTCTTCGCATTTATCATTGAGATTCATTCTTTGTAATATTACAGAAGAATAAATCATTTTTAAATTATCCGCTGATAGTGAAAATAAATCTTTGTATGCTAAATGCCCAAAATTAAGGAATTTTTAATTTGCATTGTATTTAGTTGAGTTTCTCGATTGAATTAGAATATAATTGAAATTAGAAGAGTTAACTGATAACTGAAGCGCGAAACGGTGAAAATGAATTCATCACACTTTATTGCATTACTGATAAATTGTTTTAGGATAATTATTAATTAGCTAAAAACAAAAAAAGCAATTATTTTTATTCATATACTTCACTAATTTAATTCAGTGTATAAAATATACGAAATATAAAAAATTCATAAAAATCAATTGAACTCAATTGAATTTGTGATAAAAAGAAGAAAAAAAGATTGGAGGAAGAAAGAAAAATAGAGATCCCTTCTTTAATAATTATCACTCATAATGTAAATCTTCAACGATGTTGTCCAAGTCGAAAGTTTAATGCATCAGTAAATTCGAATAAACTAAGGCTTACTGTAGTAAAAGTATGAAGAATTATCCATACTTCTTCAAACACTTCAGAAAGAAGGAAATGCAAATGAAGCAATTATGCATTTGTTGATGATATTTTCACTGATTAGTTTCGGAAATGCAATAAATTAATGATTAAGGAAAGGAAAACAAATTTAATTTCAGCAAGGTTATATGTTATTATCTAAAATTATTTTTATTTGACCCTTTTAGTATATATTATGAAAATGCATGTTGATTGAAAGAACATTCTGATGACCAATATCTGCATGTGAAATTTGCATATTTGTAAGTAAATTCAATTTGCAGTTTGCATATTTGAATTGCTTATTTTCACTAATTAATGCCCATATGAACTTCTTCAACAATCGTGTAAGGGCACATTCGTGTCAATTTAGCCATAATGAAAAAATGTATATCCTATTTACACTGCTAACAATTTTGTTTATTACATGTAAATCAAAAACTTTCAGACTAAAGTGATTTTGTCATCAGACACTAGCGCTTGTTGAAAATGGAATATGTAATAATTGTGTGATGGCAATATCCCGAAAGTATTTCTTTCAAACATGTTTTATATTCCATTTTTTCTAAAGTGATTTTGTCATAGGACATAAAACACAACATATTTTATATACATCAAATATGGCTAATTGGAAATGTTAAAATCAAATTTCATCATATGATCAAATTTACGTACGATTTTCTATTTTTAAAACTTCAGAATATTTCAAGAAGTTAAATGTACTTAAAAAAAATTTACTACTTTTGAATATCATTTAACTGTTCGATTCGATCTAAACATTTAATCAATGAAAGGCAATAATGAACGATCGCAAGGAAAAAGATCGATGCAAATAATTTTAAAAGAATAAGCAACTGATCTTTGCATTTATTCACTGCAACAATTAATGAAGAGATAATTCATAGAAAGGTCAAGATAATGTAGTTGACCTAATATCACTCATCTCTTTTATTTCCAGTCATTTCTTTCTTTTAAAATCTTCCTTTCAACTTACAAATTTGCTTAAATTACTTACAAAGTACAATTTATTTCCTGAAAGTTACGAAGTGATAATTGCTCAAGCAATAATTCATTGTCTTAATCTCTTAAGAAAATGTTGTTACAACCAATTTCTATCAAATAAAATTAAATGAATGAATTGTAATTCAAACTATAACAAAGCAAATCGATCCTATCTCCTTTTACAACAAATTTCTCTTCACCTTTCATCTCCTTTCCATTCTATCATTTGTAGTTATCAATAAATGCAACACTTGTCCAATGTATTAATATTATTAATGTAATGAATCGAAATCACTTTATTAAGACAAACCAAATTTGCTAATGTCCTTTCGTGTTTATTGTTTTGATGTTTAAAATGAAGTGAAAATAAATTTGAAGTGTAACATTTTGAATAAAATGACAGATAGGTATGTGTTGTAGATTAGCATTAACCAAGTTGATTAAAAGTTTGCTTGTCCAATTTCTTCACATCATCTCAATATCATTGATTGGTCAACAAACATAAATAACCAATGAAAAGAGTCCTCCTCCCTATCTGTTTTCAACTATCATTATTATTTCAACGACATCGATCCTATTATCATCTATTATGTTCCCGTAAATAATACTAATATTACACTGATTCCGATGAAAGGATGATGTTTGCTGAATATGTTTAACGTGGACGTAGAACGTGATACTTTTCAACGTGAAGATGCAATAGCAATATTTGTCCATTCATTCGTACGTGCAATACATTGCTATGGTTATTTTGTAATCCTTCTGTACATAGCAATGAAATATTCGTGTTTACTGCATTCATTTTACATTTGTCCCAGTCGTATATTCTATAACAAGCTGAGTAAAGTTTGCATATACATGCATACAACATACTGTCTTACATATATCTGCAGTAAACATGCTTAATGCAAACACACACATATTCCTACATTCATCTGTTAATAATAATGTCTTTTCGAACACATACATACATGCATGCACATACATATATACATACAGACACATACGAATAAACATCTCTTACCAGAATCACTCCAGTTGTGCCTGCACGGCCTTTGACACATCTGAATTTTATGTGTGTATGTATGTGCTTTACTGGACCGCTGTCTTAAGGTGAACTTATTGATTCGTGGTAGTAAGCCTGGTCTTGCTTTCTGCTTCTTCCAGCTTGTTTGCTGTTATTTTAATGCCATGAGAGCCTATGTGTGCATACATACACACGCACACATCCACGCATATGTGTGATAAGTACGCATATACGTATCTGTCTGTGTGTCTATGTGTTTCTGACGTAAATTAACGGACTGTTCGAAACAACTTTTGCAGCAGTGGTTCATTTCACCATATCAGATTATCATCTATTCCAATGCTGCAGTTTCACTTTCATTGTCATCCTATCACTGATAATGTTTATTATTATACTCACCGTCCTTTACTATTATCATATTTATCGATTTAATTATCACAGTTATTTTAAGCTATTCTCATTATCAGCGAGAGCACTAATAACCAGCGTTTTATATATGTAGATTATTCATAAATAATGATTATGTATATTTCAGTATGAAAGATCGGCCCAAAGAACAAATGGAAGGAAGGGAATGACAAGCAGAATGATTTGGTCGTCATTATGAGGATTTGTCGTTGCGCTGTCTTCTATCTATTACCACCGTGCGCATAAGTCGTAGCGTTTACCCTCTTGTGTAAGAATTTGTTGCCATGTGCTCTCTACTCTGGTTTTGATGGATCAAAAAACATGCTGAAATTTTTGCCATTACTAATACTAGTACTATTATTGCTATCCACAACATAGATCGTAGTGCCAACAACACGTGATAATTGTCTCCGGAAGAGACGCACTTTCAACGAATGGCTGCCTGTACTCTTGCTAAGGTTCGTTTTATTTTTATTTTCTCATATTGCTAATTAAAACCATCGATTATTTTATATTTCTGTTAAAAATCATTTCCATCATATTAGTTATTATTGCTTGCTTCATCATTTTACTCCGTTACGATACCACCTAATATTGCTGCTGCCTATTAAGCTCATTTATTCCCACTCATTGTGACTCTTTCCTCTAAATTGCTGTCCAATTATTTTTATAGCATTTAACAGTTATTTATGGTGTTGAAAAGTGCCAATAAAGCGAAGAGATATAGGATGATTGCATGTGAGAGGTTCATGTATTCGTCGATTTTTTAACTTTCGATTTTGATTTTCTCTTATTTAAATTGTCTTTAAAATTAGCTTTTTAAATCTTTGTTAATTTTGTAGATCCTTCAGTAACTTGTATCTTTTATTCTTTATACTACTATTTCAATAAGTTGTATGTCTCGAAAACATTAAAAGATTCATTAATTGAAATGGCATTAAAAGATTTGTTAACTAAATTCTACTTCTTGAAAGTGGAATAACTATGTAGTGATTTTCTGATTTTCTCTTTGCACGATTCTGAAGCACATTAAACATACTTCATTCTACAATATATTCGTTTTCCTTACAGTTCACCTTTGTTCCTTATTGGGAAATAAAAATGTAGTGCGATCATCTAAGATACATACTCATTATACATATATGATTTTCTGTGATTTTCTTTTTGCACGATCCTGGAGCAGATTAGGCATGCTTCATTCTAGAACATTTTCCTTACAGTTCACGTTGCTCCTTATTGGGAAATAAAAATATAGTGCGATTATCTGAGATATATATATATATGCATAAAATTCTAGAGAATTGTACTTGCTTTTTTAGGTCCTCTCTTAATGCAGTAATGCTTTATCCTAAGTATGCAATTAATCAATGATGCAGTGGTTCCGTACATTTGATAAATCGAAGATTTAAACTCACCCCTAAAAAGTTATTAAGGATTTTCCCTTAAAAGAGAAAAAAGATCATGTTTGGAAAAATCTAAGATTTGATTTCTTAAGAAGAAAAACGCAAAAACAATTCATAACAGGTACATTTTACGACTGACGAACATATTATTCCTCAATAATAATAACAGCTCGAAGTCACAATTCAAAAAAAGTAAAATAAAGTAACAGTGAATTGTATATCCTCTTGTCATGTCTTAACGGACGATTCTTTCCTCTTTTTTAACTTTTATACATTGTTTGATTTATAAGTTATGGATAGAAAAGATGCACTTGATGTAGAGGAATTCAGAAAATATATATATATGTATCGGCTAAGGGCTTTTGGATTATAAACTGAAAGCAAGTCTGCTCTGCATATATGTATGCATACAGATTTAACATACAGTCAGTTAAAGTAGTTTGCTGCAGAAACATTATTCAAAATGCTAGCTGGAAGGATTTTGGTTTCTTGTTAATCAGAATGGTTTATGAACTAAATACTTCAAACTCAACTGTTTCTTATATATACAAAAGGTTGCGTGCTAAGCTAGCTGGTAAAGTTGTTCTTTACAAAGTAACTTGCTTTCAGCTCGATTCACTATCTATGAGAATCGCTCAGTCAGCTCCGCTCAAAACGCTTAAATATTTTCGCATTGCTGTTCCACAAGCTCTGACTGGCCAAACTCTTGTTGCATTTTTACAGGTTTGCTTTTTCTTTTAATTCACGATAAATTTTTATATTCGTAAGTAGGCAGTATTGTTTTTTTTTTAATTCTGGCGTGTCATTTTGACAATTTTTGAGGATTATTGCAGGCATAGGTTAGATTGAAGTAATTTAACAATTTCATGAGATAGTTTGTTTAACATTTGGTACCCTTAATCCTCTTTCAGAAATTCCATATATGGTATGGTGTCTCGCTGCTAACGCTGGGAGAAATGCTGCACTGCACGATCGCTCGGTCTAATATGGTCTTGGGTGATATAATCAATGCAAAAGAGCTTTTTCGCTCGCAAAAATTTTTCTCCCCCTCTCCTCCTCCTTTCTTTTCCCATATAACCTACAAAAAGAAAGTTGATTTTTGAACCATGATTTCTTTCTCATTATGCATCAGAGAGATGAATTGAGAAATTTCAGGAGTTGATGACATTTGATGATCTCGCGGATGCATTACATTTGGCAACTTTACTTCTTCAGCACGGTTACATATTTCCTGTGATCGAGCATTCACTGTTTGTCAAGGACGATAATACATTATACAGATTGCAACTGCCATATTTCTGGCCTTCACATGCTACCCATACTGATAACGTAGAATATGGTAAAATTTTTCATTGATTATTGAAGGTTATCAATGACATCAATCACCGTTTAATAATGAGTACTGTTTTTTATTTCACATTTTACCTTATCACTTTGTGCGTTTTAGAATGCTGGAAGATCTTTATATCCGTTGACGAAGTTTAGGGAGAAACTTCTATTGAGAAATGAAATCTAGAAAAACTGTCGATGAAAGCGAATGTGTATTGTTTTCAGCAATCTATCTTAATAAACGATTAATGCGAAATGAACAGAAGCATGGCCTGGAAGAAGATGAAATTGAAGCATATAATAAACTTCTTGAGCTTCTTGGTCATATGTGGGATTTTATTACTATTCAAGCAGAAATGCAGCTGAAAATTCAGAAGGTCCATTTGTCATGATACTAACTGTATTTTTGTTGCTTTATCATTCAAATTACTGGTTACTAAATTTAAAATTTTTAAATCGTTGAAATCACTACTAAATAGATTTGAATTTTAACTTCATATTATGAAATCAATTGGAAATGTTGATATTATTAGAAATGATATCGGTATTGGCGACCATGATGCATGCTGGCTGGAGCAAAAATCGGTGTTATAATTAAACTCATTATTGAGCAGCTTACCGTTAGACTTATTGAAGAGTAATAATTTTTCGATTATCAAAGTGAACGAAGGGTTTGAACGAATGTGTTTCAGGAAAAAAAAAAGAGCGATAAAGTTGTATATGACAGTGAAGAAAGAGCATTTTGGAGGACTCGAAGGCCTGGACAAGCAAATTGTCTCGAGCAACACATTCAGGTTATCGTTTTATCCAAAAGAAAAATTATAGAAAACCTTGGGCTTCTTTTATTCTGAAATTTGGTCTGAAGTGTTATCCTTGGACATTTTAAATATGTGCCATTTCTTAATAATTATCGAACAAAAATTAAATTGAAACTATGATTGTTTATCATCTGATAACAGTTAAGTCAATATTACGAAAATAGAGCTTTTACATCTGTATTTCAATTTCGATAGTAAGAAAACCTTTACTAACGGAAAGTTTCACTACATCGAGATGTGTCTCCCTAGCGCTTTTGAGCACTGTATTTTTTGAAGTTACACGGTTTCAGAAGAGAGAAAAGAAATTACGAAAGTGCACTGCTACGGTTTATCGAAGAGAACTGGAACGATTGAGATTCACTTTGAAAACGAAACCATGGCTAAAGGCTATGAAAGCAAGTGAAACGTAATCATTTACTGTGTCTTTTTAACTTTGTAGTTTTTATAAAATAAAAAAACAAATGAAGGAAATGAGGTTTGCTTTTTGACTTGAAAAGGAGTGAAATGCTTGATTTCCTGTAAAATATCACTATGTTAAGGAATTTTTTCATCTCATTATTAGTAAAAAAAAGATGCAGATAGAAAATGATATGAAAGCAAGTGAAACATTTACTTATTTTTTGATACCGATTGAAATAGCTTAGAATTGAATATTCTTTGTCTGTTACAGTTAATATGCTTTAATGCAGCCGCGTGCTGTTAAAATAAAGATATCAAATGACGCTATAAAATTTAGGGTGGTGTCTTGGTGTGAACAGTTCCATAACTATGATCCTTTTATATCAGCTCCACAACCTAGTAATCCGTGGATATCTGATGACACTAATTTATGGGTGCTAAATACCGACTCGTAAGTTTTGTATTAGCTAATAGAGAAATAATTTCACTTAAAAATGTATTATTTTGCAGTCAACAAGTATTATTTCCTTACAGTTAAACTGGAAAAATAAAGTGAGAGATATTCATTAATTAAATAAATGAGAGAATTTCTAAAAGTTTTTCTGAAGATTGTATTGATTTTGTTTTCGTTTTATTTCCTTCTTTATGCAAGACCATTATAGGGTAGAAGTACCAACCGAACGACGGGTTAAGCGATGGGGCCTTTCGGTACAAGAACTTGTTCGTGATCCCATTGGGCGACAAGTTCTTGAAACATTCCTAGAAAGCGAGTTCTCCTCTGAAAACATACGGTTTTGGATGGCTATTCAAGATTTGAAGTTTTCTGCAAACGAGCAAGTAGAAAGGAAGGCACAGCATATTTATGAAGAATTTTTATCGTCCGGTGCTCCTTGTCAGGTATGTTTTTTCGACACTTATTAATTACCGGAACTAGTTGCAGTTAGGTTTGTTTTATGATCATCAAATAGGCAGTCGATTTTTTAAAATGCATCGTGCTGTATTTCGTCGGCGGCATCGATTTAACTCAAGCTTGAAAAAAAACTCAAACTCCGAAACTCAAGCTTGTTTTGTATTTTAAGATGGATACTTTCGGAGAAGAGGGCTTTTTAATCATGGCGACGAGTAGTGCCCCCAGTATATAAAATCTTGAAGGGAAGAACTCATTCAGCTCGTACCCGTCCTTAAAAGCATTAACCACTATCATGTGATTAGCCATATTTAGGGTTGTGAATGGAAAGTTAATCAAGAATAAAACCCGCTGATAACCTTTTGTTTCCAGGTAAATGTTGATTCACGTACTCTAGACGCTACAATGAAATCACTGCAGGATAAGTCAGTAGCTAGACGACATGCATTTTTTCCAGCCGAAGAGCATATATTCACCTTGATGAGCAAGGATTCGTATCCACGATTTTTACGTTCCCAAATCTACAGAGGAGTACTTTCGGCAGCTCAGCAACAAGTAATTCTTGTGAAATTAAATCATTCTATGTTATTGTGTTCGAAAATCTGTATGTTCCAGAATTAAATAACTTTATTTTAATAATAATGCGTTGCAGGGTTCAAGACGTCTTGGTTGGCGAAATTTCGTATTTAATATGGGTAACCAGAGGAAGATGCCAGCTGCGGTGAAACAACATAAAATAAGTCGCGATGATAATTCCCGTATTTCACTTCCAAAACAGCTCAGTTCCGATTCACTCTCTGTAGCAAAAGCACAAACACAAAGGTAAAATTTTTTTTGCATTCTTACTCAAAAACCACAAGAAATGACAAGTATACAAAGCAGTCACTAATGCCTTCAAAACTACTTACCTTCGATATACAAAAGCTATCAAGTTGTTGGATTTGTAAGGTTTTTTCAAAAAAAATAAAACATTTCTAGGCTACCAGCAGAATCTTTTGCAACTATACCGAACACATAACAAGAATAAATGCATGGATTATTAGTACTCAAAATCCCAATGGTAGAACGGATGATAATGTTTTAAACGATTGTTCGGCTGGTGCTGGTTTGGTTCCAATTTGTTGGCTGCTTCCGGTGCTATTATTTTCACCATTACCAGTGCTCGGTACAGCGATGAACAGCTGAAGACGTATTTGGGCGATTTCTATCAACCCATTACTAAACAACCTAGTTTTATCACCACTTAGTAGCGTTTTGCCGTCGACGTATATTGGAGACTTTCCAACATTAGATACTTCCACTGTCTTCGCTCGCTCATTTTGTGTTATTTTCAAAATGGCTTGTTTTCGACTGATTGTTGCAACCGGTCCTTCCAGAGCCAAATTAATATCAACCTGAAGGTGCAAAACATAGTTTATGAGTAAACTCTGTAATTACACCCACTCAATTTAAAATTTATTTGTGGAACTGTCAGAGTACAGTTCATCAATTCCTCTTTCCTGTTAGTATTATTAGTATTAACTGATTAAAGTACAATTCAAATTAATTCCAAAGATTCATCTATCTTTCCATTGATAGAAGATTCATTTATCTTTCCACTTATTCAAAACTTCGTATTTTATATATATTTCAAATGTGACGCCGTTGGTTAGTATTTCATAATCTACGAGTGCAAGTTTCTATCTTGCATTATTTCCCTTGTTTTCAAACTGATGATGCATAACAGATGACAAAGACAGCTATGCTCAACCAGAGATGTGTTTCTATGTATGGATTTTAGTTCCCATTCTAAAGAACAAGTGATTTTTCTAAGTTGATTATTGCTCCACCACAAAACTGCTCGAGAATCGGAATGGATATGTGATACTGACATGTATTAAGCAGAACCATGCGTATCATGAATTTTGCTTTACATTTTTGTTATTTGCTACAATTACGGTAACAACATACACTATGAAATTGTGTGTTGCGACCTATTAGAATAGTTTCGCCCCGCAGTAAGTAGCGCACAACACGCCCCTTCAAAACACCCCAAACACCCTCGCCCATTTGTGAATCGTCGGATATTCCATTAACAGCTTCAACATGTACCTGGAAATTCACCAAATGAAAAGCTTTGTGCGAAAAATAACATGTAATTATTTAACAGCAATACCTTTATCTTCATTATTTGATTCAAGGAAGGAAAGGATTTGTATTATGAATAAAGAGAAAATTTGCATTGTGGTTATCTTCTGGAGCGACAAATAAAAAATAACTTTTTCCCATTCAAGCCAAGCACGTTCAGCCAAAACTGCTGCTTTACACAAACGCGTTTCTTCGAAACTAATATGACGATCCCAGCCACCATTCCACTCTAGGCTTTGTTCAATTTCTGCAAAATCTAGCACGCGGTTGCTGGTCTTCCTTTGATCTTGTAATAAATCCCAATTTTTCATTTCCAACCAATGTTGCTGTAGGACAGATGCAGTGCGCGCATGATGGAATGCTTCTTTATTCCGTCCCAATACCTGCAAGATGAAATTTTTGAATTTCCTGAATAATCTTTACGAAGATTATTCCCAAATTTTACTACTGGATTTATTTTCGTAACCACTGTAGCTAACTCCGTAATCTTTCTGCGGACTACCTTTTTCATCCCGTCACTACTGTCTACGCTTTAGATCCTGAAGTTGATCTGATGTTAGGAACAAATAAAACTTGGTAAATGGCAACTCGATTTGAACCAGGGAATAAACAAGGGACATAGAAGTTGCCGCCGATGGGGAATTAACTTTAACCTGCTCAAACACTGCAAGATCACTGCCGGTAGTCGTAGAAGGAATGACTGACAACAGCTCTTCTTCCTCAACAGTGAAAACCGTCCTTGACTGCACTGCACTTATCGTCTCCACAGAAAGATCTGCTATTCGTCTCTTTGCGATATTCGAAGCGGCCTGGAAATTTAAATCCATACTGAGACATTGCTAACGATTACGGTTCACTTTTTCATGAATTTTTTTCTGACTAGAATCTAAAATCACGAAAAATCAAGATTAAATGGAATAAATTTGTCCAAATAGAAGTTTTGAGCGAAGTCATATGGTATTTTATTGACACTTCAAATACCAAAAAGATGCGTTCATAATTCCAATAACTCATTTTATAATCTTCTGATCTATCAAAAAACTTATTGCAATCCTGAATAAAACAAGTTTAAAATATGAATTTAACACTTAAAAATAAAATAGTGGGGCACACCAAATATACTAGTGAACAATATTAGATGTGTAATAGGGAAAAACAGTGAAAAACGTTTGTTGTGCTCCAGCCTCACATCTGTAGATTAATAACTAAAATTATCTAACAGATTGTGTAGTTGCTAAAGTAAACAGACTATGTATCATTATAGCTTGGCTGGCGAATAATAATATTTGACGTCTAAGCGTTCGGTGAATCAATTCACAACTGGTAGTAGGTTGTTGAAAGTGATTACCTCAACTCAAATCATCAATTTTACTTGTATATTCTTGTAAAACTTTAATGTGAATTAAGGTAGAAAAGAACGCTATAAAAAATATGAAAGAAATGGAACAACATCAAAAATTATCCAATAGATTGTACACTACATCACATCCAAAAAGGAAATATATTGAGGAGATGAATCACCTATCTCGAAAGTAAAAGTTCGCATAATAAGCGATCGTATCCTAGTGGTAGTGAGAGCACTGAGCTTGAAACCTAAGCAATTTTGATGGGTACCAATTAGTCAGTAAGGTTAGCGAAAAAATTCCCGACCTGTTTTTTTCTTTACGTGAGCAATAAGTTACATTCATATTTCTTCAAAGTTCAATCAAAAAAGAAAACCTCATCGTACAGCAATTCATACCACCTTTCTTCAATCTCAGCTCGAGTAAAGGGTCGTGAAAAAAGAACGGCTCCATGAACAGCAGCAAGACTGCTTACCTAAACATTTTGTAAATATATTATTGTAGCGACCAATCTTGCTTTAATTGCTTCGGAGATAACTTAAAATCTGATCAAAATAAAGATAAGATTTTTGCGACTTTACTTTAATTGCAAAAGGGATGTTATCGGATACATACCCGAGTAACTGCGGTTATAAGAGCAACATCATCTAGTGCAGTCCATTTCTTCAATGATTCCGTCAACCCGGTACCAAGATTTCCTGCGTGTGGTGCTAAAGTTGCTAACTCTTTTGTTCGTGCTTCTTTACTCGCAGATCGTTCACGTCTTTTCTAAAAAGTTTCCTTAATACATAAATATCCTGATAAGCTAAAAAACTAACCAAAAGTTCAATCAAATCATCATTATATTATCTAAGTTATGAACGCATAAGTTTTATTATTTATGATGTCTGAAGATCTTTGTAAAAAATCTTATTAAAAGAAATGTTTCTTCTTATAACGAGACTTCACTTTTATCTAAAATTTCCGGATTTTCGATTTTCAGTGCTTTGAACATCATCAAGCGCCTACTTTATCAGAAAAAATTACAGACTGCACTTGACAAACAGGTTTTCCTGGAAACTTCTTAAAGCTTTTAACTTCAACAGGAGCTGCAATATTTGTCTCGGTGGTACGCCATTGTCTCTTATTAAGTTTCACTCGGGTTGTCGTCTGAGTTTTTTCCTGCAGTGAAAACAAATAGCTGAAAAACTTGAAATGACTACGTATTTGACAATATTTGATCAGGTGCCTTATTTTTTTATCAGTTAAGCAAACCTATGACGTGATGCCAGAGTTTCCTGATCAAAATGGGATAAAGACCGAAAAGGTGCTCATTCTAAATTAACATCATCGAAAAATCTTCTGGATAAAAAGATAATAAGCGTACCACAAAACGATCTATAGCTTCTGGAGAATGAAGCAACCTTTCAGCACTTGGTCGCTTTCTTTGCACTATTTTAGCCGTAGAAATACTATCAACAATCTCGTCATCAAATTTGGGTTTTCGAATTTCTCGATTGGAACGACGCACTTTCAGTGAACCACTTTCATCATACAAATCTCTAAATTTTGTTCATTAAAGTTATCATTGTCTGCATTTTCATTTTGTCTTACTTTGTTAGCTCATAGAAAAGAATTGATTTCACTTGACTTTCGGCAATGATTAAATTAGTTCTTGAGCTCAATCTTTTATCTACTTACTTGAGAGATTAACCCCAGAAACTCGAAACCATACCATCTTTTACATAACAAACTGCGAAGACTTTGGTTCGTATTTCGAGAATTTAAATCTTCAATCTAGCAGAGCCTTACCATTATTAAACCACGAGAGGTGCATCCAAGTATAGCTTACATTTAAATTACATTTGAATCTTTCAAGAGTTGCAACGAAACTTTAATTCACAGTAGCCGAAAAATAGTTACACTTTCGAGAGAAGTCCCAACACCTCTTAATTTTTATTATTTTAACATTACCTGCTATCTGGAGCGTTAAACTTCACGGTGGACGCCTGAGGCACGGATGGATTGGGCATCGTGGGTTTCCGAGAGGACTCCACTCTGGTTATATCCATTGAAGTCTAAACTACCTCAATATGGTAAAAAAACATCACACAACGCAGAACCCACAATGCAGACCTCGAAATTAACGTTACAATCCCGGGATCGGCAGTATAGATTTCCCAGTTTGCCAATTTCGGTAGTCGACGGCACCGCATTGGGTTCCCTACAATGGTGAAGGGTGATGCTTCATTTTTCCAAAGATCTTTAAGGAACCATTAACAGTATAAGTAGTGCGTGAGGTGAATTGCCACTGATCGAAGATAGTTTTTGAGAAACCAAAATTGTATCTATCATATAAGACTGAAAATTAAAAAAGATGCATCAATCCCGAAAATTACACCAAATGAGTTGAGATGCTGAGTCTTCGTAACTTATTTATTTCTGAGCAATCAACAAAATCAGTTACAGTAATGCATAAACGTTTCAGTGAACAGTACAGAAGATAAAGTAACTTTTCACAGAGAAGTAATTCACAGAGATCGATCGAATACATGGAAGTCATATTAAAAGCAACGAATAATGAATTGTACCGAGTTACTTAGTAACTGGCATGTGATATTTGATGTGATAACACAGTCATCAAGTACTCCATTTGTTCGCAAGCATAAAAGCCATAGCTATATTCGCTACTTTCCAAAACGAGCATTGTTAATCTGAATAAATGAACGCGACATGCAGTATAGGTTCTCAATAATTTCCGCATTATTTTCATGACATAATCCAACTCTTCTAATCAAGATTAATGCTGCATCAATTGCGAGAGTTAATTAAGGATATCACTTGCTTTCTTTATTGCTAATTACGTGTAAGAAAATAAACATATCGCTACGTGATGGAAGTATACTAACTTACTCTTTAAGCATTGAAGCCAAACTATGTTTAATAACCAGAATGCATTCTTGAATGATAATGCTCCTGAACATCCGAGTGATAACAGCTCGTGTATGGAGCCAAAGCCGACCGTATTTGTTCAGATTATTACGGTGTAGAAATCGAAGCCAGAACGATATCACTTCATAAATTGCTGCATATAGAACTCTTTCGGAATCCTAGAGAGTAACATAGAGCTTTAAACATGAAAGAAACAAAGAATTGAACTTATATTTCCCGGACAACAACGCATGCCACTAGTCTGCTGCATCAACGCAATTTTTAAATAATAGTTATGCTCTCGTAACCAAAAAGTATTTAGACTTGGCATCCACTAGCGAAAAACCTTCAGTAAGCTCAAAAAGATTAAGGTTAAAAATTATGGTGTCAACAATTAGAAAAAGCATAATTCCAATGCCAAAGAGTGATAACCTAGGACATTTTTCTCATTGGAACAAATTTTTTGGAACATACATTATCAGTACCAACTACACAGTATTGATGCAGCTTCACCAAGGATCCAGCATAGATCTCTACTGGATCAGAAACTGTTACAGGTCTTCTGGTGGATGAAGTGTGACACAAAAAAGTAATCAAATCACGGAATTGCACGTCAAGTTCTGCACACATTTGAATTGCGGACATAGTACCGTTGCTAAGTGAGCTGAAATATCACAATAAAAAGAATTTGCGAACTTAATAAGCAAAAAAATTTGTGGTTCAGAGAAAAAAGAAAAGTTAAACTCTCCAGATAATCAGAAATCAGTCTCTTTTGATAACCTCTTTGTTCCACTTCATCTCTAATTTAAAGACTGCGGTAAATGTGCACTATTTTTTGGTCATAATTTCTCCACCAATGTTCTATTCATTTTTCAGTACAGAAAAATTCGATTCCCTGCGAAATTCACTATAATATTATGAACTGGAAAATGCGATTTATAATCTTTACATATATGATTGTTCATCAAATAATATAAAATCGTTTGTTATAAAGTTCGTCCAAAATATTACGAATATATACTAACTGTCACCAGGATGAAATCGCACGCAAACACTATTATATTAAATAATACACAGCATATCTTCTTCCCTTATTGGTATGTACTCCGTTCCTTTCATACTTTTCATCAACAATGCCTCTTCAACAGTAGCTGGACCCTTTTCAAAATTCCATGATGTTGCGCCAACTAAATGTTATTTCGCAATACGCAGGATTAAAATAACGACAATCTTACCTGAATAAAAAACTTAAATGGTCCAATTTATTTCTCCATTCAGCAATCTTAGTTGGAATACCTACTTCTGTAGTTAGTATCCCCGCTTGTGTTCGATTGCCAGAATTACCCGGAATCCTGGAAACATTGCATCGAAAGAAATAATTTTGGTGTAATTCGACTGGTGGGAAAGTGAGTTGAACTACCATCCTGATCATATTAACCCATAAGTAGTGATCATTTTGCTCACTCCCACTGACATGAAGTAAAGTTAAAATTGTTAACACCTGAAAATTCTGTGCTCAAGCGAAGAAGACAATTATTTATAATGAAAATGCTGGTGATAACTGACTAATTATTTATTACTTCAAGTCAAAACATGATGCTATAGTTGGCTATGAATATTTTTCTTTATAGTTCATTCCTACAAGATAATAGAGCAATGGTGTAATAGATTAGATCATCGAGAAAATGAAATCAAAAGAACATAGCTTACAAATGAACTGGTTGCGATGAAATTTGCCTGCTTTGACCGACTTGCGTCTTATGTCGACTTATTCTTGTTAAATTTGATATCATAGTTCGTGCTGTTGCAAACTGTTCGATGTTTTGAAAAACTTGCGACTGTTGTGTATTTTCACCTCCTGTTAGCTATAGTTTGCTTGTAGTCAATTTCGGTTAAGCTGGTGCTAGAGTGATTAACTTCCACATTTCAACAAACGAAAATATTGAATAAACCAATGAATCCGCTGAAAAGATTGCTATCCCATTCCTTTCTCTCCCACCCCTTTACCTTATATATTGTTATTTATCGAAAAGCATTTAAAATGCCACATATTTTACAGCGATAACAAGAATTATCCAATCAAAAATAATTTGACAGAATACTCACACACTGAGAGTTCCGAATATTTTGAAAACAACACGCGATTGCAGCGGCAAGCTGGATGTTCACATCATTTGGAAGCTCTATTACGATCATGACTGCAAATACAATCTATTTTATGTAGGATAAGAAAAAAACGAGCAGGAATAGACATCACGATGTTAAGATGCATTACCACACATGATTTACTAAATTTACTGCAATTTGCACGTACAAAGCTTGAAATGAAAACTGATCACAGGCCTTATAGCTCAAGCTTAGATTGTAATGAAATGCTCGTATTAACAGCATTATTATAACATCTACGATAAGTAATTTAGAGTTAAAAAGTTTTCGAATTTCAAAGAAATAACCTGTAGAAAATAACGATTTTCTCAATATTTGCTTATTGTTAAGTAATGCGAAAAATTGCCTGCAACACGGATGAAGACATTGGATACTGGGCTTGCTTGAACTTAAAAGTCGAGTCAAAAAGAATACATTACGAACGTTCATGTTATTTTTGCTATCGGATACGAGTCTTTAATTCTATTATAATGATCAGCAGTAGACTGAGACCAATTCCCATGCACTGAAATCGATTGCCGTTGCAACAATGCATACTCACATGGAAAAGTGGTCCTAAGCTTGAAACAGAGCAAAGTATCTGCGAGGCCTTTATAGCAGAATCGATAAGATTGAGATGCCCTACATATTATGCTTCTTCGCTCGTAAATTTATTCAATTACCATATTTATTACTTCCTTTGAGACACAATTTACAATAGTCAACAGGATAATTACTGTCAGGATTGTTAGCAGTTCGATTCCGATCTTTATTGCTATCTTTACATATCCATTTGCCAAGAATGAAGGACCTTGATCTAAATGTCATTCGTTCAAGACAAGATTTTCATTCTTGACAAATGGATAGTACCTGCAATTAAGATAACTTCACAGCATTTTAAGATCAGATGAATTTTCTCCAGAAATTCTTAATTAAAAACAAAACAACTTCATGTTTTGTCATGTATAATTTCATCATATATAGACTTACCAATCTCATAGTTATTTCAGAGATGGTAACGCCATGCGCATCGGCGCAGATGTTAACTTGTGGTAATGAGTGGCAATGGATGTGCAATAACGGCGAATGTATCGCACAGTATGATCTGTGCAATGGTATTGAACAATGTACTGATGGATCTGATGAAATTGATTGTGACAAAAGGTTAATTCTTCATGAAATGTATACCTTCAATTAAGCATTATGCGATTTTGAGAGATCATTAAAGATCTTTAGTGCATGTTGTACAGCTATATTTATGAAGTCCTTATTGTAGGCAATGGCAGAATAAGTATATTAATGTGCCACGTGAAGAACAGATGAAGTCAGCGATACAAACTGGGATGGATGAGATTAATCCAACTAATAGTACTACTACGTCTCGATCTATGGAATTTAATGGATGGCTTATCGCTCTCACTTCCGTACTGGTCATCATACTATTAATAGTAATTGTACTGCGATGTCGACAACGGCGAAACAGTCTGGTTCGGAATAATCGGGCATATGGTGTAAGGAAAAGTTTAAATATGGGACAAAATAATGGCGATGATGAGGATGATTTACTGATAGGTTCACTTTATTCCTAAGATATTTGTTCTCTACGAGTTTTTCAATGATAAATCGAAAATTCCCCTGTTGTTCTAATTCATTTGTGTTACATTTAACCTTTCTTTTGAACTAAATCTAGTACGAGGACAGTCTAATCACCTTACCGTCCCGCCATATTGTTAATTTAACTCGATAAGGGATCCATATGCAATAGAAAATCACTCCAGATTACTCTGCTTCAAATTTCGAAATCTGGAAAAAAGTACTCTAGAATTATAACCTGTTTGCCACAGACTAATAGCTACCTTTTCCATTTTAGCTACCTTGTCGTGCAGTGCCATCCTAATGTTTGCAAAATTTTTCCTATGTTTTGATAATACCTGCACTGATAGGCAGAGAACTGATGGATTCCAAATGTATTATAATGTTCATTACTCCTAGAGAAAAAATGCATTTACGAAATATTACAAATGCGGAAAGCGAAATAAGTGTGATTTATGGTTTTCCAGAAACTGTAGGTTTTGTGGAGTTATCACTCAATTGAAGCTTGAAATTTTATCACTCAGGATCGGGTAAAAAGTACATCTGAAGGTAATATGAATTAAATCCATTAAAGTACATTCACGGCTACTCGAAACTTCCGATTAGGTTATGTATGGTGCTGTTTTATAGCCCTTCAAAGAACTTCAATTATTTTCAATCTTTCGTATAATTCCAATCGCACTAAATTTGTGTTCTAAAACACCATCTTTCTTTGCTGCACATATTTCATCGCAACCTCCAAAAAATTCACCTCCAATGAAAATTCGCGGCACTCTTCTGAAAATGAATATTACAATTAAATGCAAAGTTCACATAATGCGCCAGATATTTTGAAGTGGATACTACAAGTGGATGTGCAAATCCAACACTAGAATTAGAAGTTATTGAGGTAATCTTTCATTTATTTTCTCTAAGTACGCAATCCGTCTGCATCATTCAAAATGCAGCTCTAGGGAAAAAATTAGGAGAATTTTTGATAAAAATTCGCACACGAAGAGTATCAAAGTTCCATTCTGAGCCTTCGAGTCTGGAAGTTTGAAACATGTTTCTCCCTTCTCTTTCTTCAATAATGGCTCTTTTGCCGATTGCACTACCCACTGCTGAAGAACTTTACGAGAATAAGTGAAACAAATAAGTCAACAACCCACTCCATTATAATGGTTTTTAAACTAGGAACAAATCCAGTAAAATAGCATAAATATAACCTTGATCCAGTTATCTGTTCTATATAATCCAAGATTTCTTTCCCATCGGACCTTTTGTTAATGTCGATCCATTCCATTACATCTACTTCGAGCGGATAAGCGGAAAGCACTTTGCGAGCTCGCTTACAATATATGCACCAGCTCTTTGATATTACTACTACCTGTTAAGATATTTCAAAACTTAAATTCTAAATTGTGTCAAATGGATTCATTTTTATCGGAAATTAGGATTTGAGAACAGTCATGGAATTAAATGAGGTTCAAAACTTCATTTCTTTCATCATTCTGTAATCGTTATTAATATAATCTCTTGAAAATGAAAAAGGGATATAAAAAACTTTTTTCGATGCAATGAGTTCATCAATAAACCGCTGTACTTCGCCCATATCCTGAAGATTAAATTTGAAAAGCTTTTGTTTAAAGGAATCTTTTCATGTTTTTCAATTACACCTCCCGCAAGTTTTTTTTTACCTAAGAAGAGATTTCTTTATTCATACTGCTTCATTGCACAAGTCGAGTTCTCCAGCAACTGTTTATTTTAACCTCGGAAATAACTTGGTGAATTCGTTAGGGCCAAGTAAGTCATGGAGAACTAAGTATCTGTTACTACAATTAACAGTCTGAAACTATATCCCAATCATAAATATTTAAATTTCGCTTATTTCGAGGAAAACAAAAAAAATTGATCTTTTTGGAAATGCAATTTTCATTGAAAAATATACCTTGGAAAGATGTTTGGAAAACAGGAAACCCATAACGCGAATTATTTTATCGATCTAAAAATAATTTCAAAGGTAATACAGTAGTTAAAATTACTGCAACTCTGTAATAATAAATGAGCAATAACCGAAAACTGCAAACTGAATTGAAAATTCCAACGTCTCTAGTTGCTCATGATTATTCTGGCGAGATTTTCTCGACCAACAACATACGATTGAGAAGCACAGCAATGGGACCTAGAGGCAACTTATCTGACTTACAATTTATCTGATTTACAAAACAAATTGCTGAACAAATGCGATCTGAAACCAATTAGAACTGACACTAACTTATCGATAACTAAAATTGAAACTACCACGACTACGTGTATCGTTGCGCACAGAACAACGTATAGTCAAATATTTTATATAAAGAAAGTCACCTTTTGGCAAATATCCAGAGGGCGCAGCCACGTAGATCGACATATCACCTATGTTTTACATATCAGTCAGTATTTATAAATGACATTTGTTTCCAGTAGTGAATTCAGTCTTTCCGTCAACCGGAAACTGAAAAGGATAAACAGAAACAGCTGGCAACACGTCTTCCTGCAGCATCTTAAACTTAATATAACAGGCCGCTAGATGGGCTTACTTTTTTTACAACCGTTAAATTCTGATAGTCAGTTCTTTTATTGTCAGGAAAGATCAAAGTTGAATGGGAAGTTCGGGGAGAGAAGGCTGCCGTTGGTAAGGAAGGGTTAAATGGCAGGCTGAGACGACCGCATTAATGTTCCAGATAACTTAATTTTTGCAGGGTACTAAGCCTAAGCCATCTTAAATTATCCACAGCAAAAGGATCATGAAAACACCAACCTCACTTACCTTGGCTTCCTGTAGCCAAATTCAATTATTGATTCTTTGGAAATTCTTTATTAATGACCACTAAAAAGGAAAGTTGTTTTCTGACAGATTTTATGGATAGATTGATAGGTACATTTTCTATGAAGTGTGTTTAGCGCTGGCATAATAGAATAGGTGCCGTACTTGACTGTTTAAATATATATATATTTATTTTATTTATTTATTTATTTATTTACTTATTTATTCATTTATTATATAATTGTTTTTGTGGAAGCGAAATCTGTATGTGAGTCGGATGGACCTATAAACTTTACGAGAATGGGATTTTTCCTTTCTTACCCTCTTCTCTTGTACCGTGGGATTTATTTACAAACTTATCACGAATGGATGCGTAACCGAATCGAGTAAGCAGCAGTAATAATCCTAAAACATTTTAGCCACCGATTATGCATACATTAATTGAACTGAATGATTCCAAATTATCTCTTGAGTTCTTTGTATATGCGAACTTTGATGAATCAAATGTATATAGAAATGAATCAGTGAACATACACCGATCAGTTTTCAGCTGGGCACATTTTGATGGGAGTTCAAGATGATTTTGAAAGATAGCACTCCTAAGGTAGCTGATCAGTGCGGTTCTGTTCCTTCGTAAGTTAATTGTATTTGTTCTTCATTTGCGTCTACTCTTAACTGAACAATTTTTTTCAGTAGAGTTCTTTGTAACATTACTGTTTGATTTGAATGACAGGCAGTGCTTATGTGACAAGCAAGATTTACCTGTTTCACTAGTCCCTCTCTCCGATTATTTGTACTTACATTTAGTTCTCATTACTCATTTTCTATGCTTTCTTAGAATGTAAATAATGAAGAACAACATAGCACTGATCATGAAATAGGATTAAAATGAAATTTTATTCTGCAGAAATATATTTTCAGGAGCAGTTCGGATGGGGAGGAAGAGGCATTAAATTTCACAGCGGATTCTTCGGATCGTGTATACTGGCCGCCAAGAGAAAACACTTCATTCATTGCACCGTGGTGCCGACGAAGATATGCACTTTCTTTGCGAGGGTGGGCGCGGATTTACTACTCTTGCTTCATTCCGTCTAATTTTGCTGAAATTATTTTTTGAAAAAGATGACACAATATGCTAATAAAATATAGAAATGCGGCACTAATGAACATAAATAAATAAATGAAAGATTGGATTTAACTGAAAATAAATTATTACCTCCCTTTAATTTATTCTTCGTAATAGCTTTTGATTTATCGCTAAAGTGTTTTTTCTTTCACCTGTAGCTAGCGGTTGACAGTATCAGTTTTCAAAAATTGTTGGAAAAGAACCGTGAAGATCTGGAATCATGACCGTATAAAAATTGTAGATTGCACGAAGAATTATTAGATCTTTATGCATGGTTGAAGCCATCTCCACTGGAAAAAGCATTGCGACTTCGTGTATTCGAGCGAGTTCGTGAAGTTCTCCAACGAATTTGGCCAACAGCAAAGATTGATGTATTTGGCAGCTTGTACACGAGCTTGTTTTTACCTACCTCAGATATTGATGTGGTTGTCGAAAGTGACTTAGTGAGTGAAGAACCACCTCTATGGAAAACAGCAGTAGCATTAAAGTTTGTGTTTTCCTATTTCTAAGTCTTTATAGTTATTTGGATACTATTTCTCTAAAAACTGTAAATAGTTGCAAATAGATAATACTGTAGCTTGCACCTCTCACCTGCTCAATATTTAAACTCTTTAATCAAATTTCATTCATATTTGAAGATTCAGTTTTCGGGAGGAAATGATTAAGCTGGATACACCTGACTTATTTATCTTAAACTTATTTTCTCAGAGAATCTGGAATTACCGAATCAATCAATGTGCTTGATAAAGCATTTGTACCAATCGTGAAGATGGTCGACAAGGATACTAAGATATACCTGGATATATCATTTAACACAGTACAAGGTGTGCGTTCAGCAAAATTTATTGAGGATATGAAGATGAGGTATCCCGTGCTCGAACCACTAGTGTTGGTCCTCAAACAGTTTTTGATGCAGCGGCAGTTAAATCAAGTATTTTTTTACTGCTAATAGTTGCATTATTCGTCTAACTTTATTTCTCTTCCTCCCTGCAAGTATACGTCTTTCATCATCCTTTGTCTAATAACTTTTTTAACAAAATATTTTCCATTGATTCATGAATGATGGGTAAATCTTCCTTAGAAAGTGAAATTTCTGTAAACAGTCGTGTATTTTGAACATAGCGACTGTTTGCTATCCATCCAACAGTATGCTCGTAATGGCTAGACGTCCAATGTTACTTTTTATTTTTATTTAATTTGCACGCACTCCAGCCGGTTGTGTTTGCTTATTTTGTTTAGAATGAAATATTTCAGGTGTTCACAGGTGGTTTATCATCTTATGGGCTTATTTTAATGCTAATTAGTTTCTTGCAGGTATTTTTTAAAGCTAAATTTCTTGGACAAAGTTGCACACACCTGTTTCTTTTAATTCTCCAATCCCAAATTTTTAGTAATTTTTTTTAGTTTAGCCAGTTTAAGTAAACCTTATAACCACTGACATTCAATGTTTACAGCAATAATTTGATAATTGCAGCTTCATCCATTGTACGATTATTCATATAAAGGAATCACGGAGGTGAATATGGGCGTATTATTGCTTAATTTTTTGCAACTTTACGGGCAAGAATTCAATTACATGAAAACAGCTTTACGTATTCATAGCGGTGGAGCATATGTTTGCAAAGACGAAATCCTAGTGCAAATGAATAGGCCATCGAATTCGATGTTATGTATTGAAGATCCTTTACAACCGGGTAATAAAATTTTTTCTCAAAATTTATCTGATGCAATGTTATATTTAAGATTTTTTCCAAACTTTATCGGATACAATTGGGAAAAATATTCTTAAACATTCTTAGAGATTGATTACGTAATGAAAACTTCGACTTGTTCTAATTATATTTACTTGTATTGTGACTCATATTTTATATTCCGTTACACCGAAAAAGTTACGAATTGCATTTCCTTTCAGAATCAAATTAAAAATTTAAAATTTCTGTGATTAATATAAATTAATACTTAGAGAGCTTTTAAGGAAACGATATCGGACGTTGTTCGCATAATATTCAATTAGTACGACAGGCTTTTGAACATGCTTTTTCCACGTTGTGCGCAGTATTTGTTCGGTCACGTGAATATTCAGCAGTATGGCGCACCCGTTACCATGGCTCACTTCTATCTCTTATTCTTCACATTTCGCCGCGAATGGTTCGCTATAGAAATTGGTTGAAAGGACGTGTTCTATCAGACGGTACTTCGTCTCCTTCACTTTCTAAGGCTTCCACACCGGAAACTTTTTCACCATCATTTCTGAATACTTCCTTGATTTCCCACTTATCCTCTCCGAATGCTTAAAAATCTTCGCCAACTCACAATTGGACGAAAAGTACTCAGCATCTTCAACTACTATTTCTATCGCATGGTAATCACTTGAAATTTCGTGCTCTTTTGTCTTTAAAGCTGCAATTATCTTATTTCCAGCTTCTTTTTGTCCTTTTCGAGTAGGAAACTGTAGTGGAATACGTTAATGAAGGTTCCTTTTGCCGTTTTTAATCAAACCATCTCCCTTAATAAATACAAGTTCTGAGCAGGATCTGATATTTTTAAAAAGCGAATGAGAGAAATAAATTAATCCGTAGTATGTATCCAATAAAGTTGGTGCTGGTACTGTGCGATTGTATCAATAAATCTACTTGCAGCAATGGTAATATATTTGTTAAAGAGATAAATTCCAAGAGAGTGGTTCATTTATGATCAACTGTCATTCGGTGATTTTTTCACAATATTTAGCCTTTTCTTCCACAGTCTTCTGCAAAACTTACTGTTTAAATATTAGAGTAACCTTTCGAGTCTGGCTAGCGAATATTTCTTTTTCTTTATAAATCGGAAAATCACATAACTAGTTGCTATTAATGAGTGGTCATAGCATCCTATTTCATCTTTTGATAGTATGTTGTATCTACATTATATTTGGAGAGTTTAGGATTCAGTGACTATGATGATATAGCTGTTGCTGATCATTATATTCTATTTCCGTTCATGACAAGCTCTTTTGTTAAGCAAATATTTTTTCTGAACTGTTTCTGTGTTATACGCATTAACACTTAGATGGTGTTCTTATTCCATTTCGTAATACACCTCCGCGTAATAACTAATGCCTTGCACATATTTTTTTTAAATGTAAAACTAGGCTTCTATGGCAGTATTTGTTGTCTTTATATGAGTTTTCATGGCATCATTAGAATTTTTATGAATTCTTTGTTTTGAATGGAGTTTATTGGATGCTTTCTGTGTATAAATTTTAGCATGTTTAAAAGGACGGGTAGCATTGTTTTGAGAAAAATTGCGCGATGTGCAGCTTGGCTGTTGATTCATTGTTAACCAAATGAATATTTGAATCCGTCATTGCTTTTTTAAATCATTGTAATATATTGTCCCAAGTAAGTGGTTGTTTAGATTATTTTATTCTGTATTTTCGTGTCTATTAAAAACTTTATAAGACCACAAGTTTGATCGAAAATTCATACTGTCTTATTAGGCAGTTGACTGATACTTGCGCTCTTAATTTTCAAATTTAACATTTAATAACATAACAACTAGCCATTTGATGAAAACATTGTAACGGTTTCTTTTTTTTTGTTTTTTTCAATAGAACATGAGGAGAACTTTCTGGTATTGTTGCATGGGTAGGGTGATGTTACTGATGAAGGATATTTTATCGCTAAAATTTGTCAAAAAATTTCATGGATCGAGTGGATCACGCAGTAGTTAAATAGATCGCTTGTGTTCGATGTAAATCCCACGTCTTAATAAATAAGAAACATGCATTTTGTCGAAAATCGTTTTTTATTGACCTTTTTTCTGCTTCTTTCATGAATTAGCTTTTTTTCAAGGAATTTTTAAAAAATGGAGCCGTCGAATTCTGAGTTAAGTATGCCTATCGAATCTTCATCGACGTTGGTTTCTCACTCTTCGAATTCTTCACAAACCGAAATCAGAGTTGAGGTTTGTCAGATTGTTTAATTTCGATTGGTGTCAGTTGATTGTTTGCATTTTTTCTGTAAGCAGCCCGGATCACCTTGATTGCGACAATTCCGTAATGACTTTGGGTTTTTAAGCTATGGGTATCTCTCCTTTCCAATATACAACGTTGCAAAATTTTCAATTCATTTCAACTAAGATAGTATGATTTAAAATGCTCGGAAAATTGTATTTCATTAATGATTGCTAATTGGTTTTTGAGATTTAGGTTCTGGGGCAAAATCCGCATAATACGATGCCGCTGTAGTTATGGAAAAATGAATAAATTAAATTAAATCATTAAATTAAAATTAAATGATTAATTCTCTTTAGCATGTGAAACACAGTTGGACGGTGAAGAACTTTTCACACTGTTATCAGGAATATTTGGAAAATTTTGTTCACCTGCATCGTGGTGAAGACACACTTACCTGGTCCATCAAAATTTACCCAAAAGGCAATGGTGAAAATAACAAAGATTTTGTCTTTTTGTGTCTTAATAGAGTGGTCAGTAATACGAACACACCGTGCAAAAATGGAAAAATTGGCTTCAAATCTCGGTAAATAAATTTGATAATTTTCATGTTAAAAAAATCAAGATGAAGTGAATGCGTTGATGAACCAAAATTATAGTTCAAAATTGCCAAATACATATTTTTATCGCTAGTTATATTTTATACCCTTTTCTGACCTCTGACCCGATGTAACAAGGGAAATATTCGTCTTAGGGCACTAATCAGGCATATTCCATCCGTTATTCAGCTTTTGATTGCAGTGTTCAAACTTCAATCTTTTCAGCTTCATTTTACGAACCAGCGAAATGAAAGAGATCGAAATGCGTATTCACCCAAATCCTTCCCATTCCGATTACGTTTCTTATATAAAGCGAGATGTTCTGTTTCCGCAGATATTGCCAAATGATTCAATTATTGTGAATGTTGAGATAGATGTAGCTGTAGAAACTGTTACGACAACGCTAGAGGAGATGTTAACTGTGAGCCTGTTGAATCTTATAGGAATTTTTTAATTCCATATTACAATATACGATTCTGTTTTTTATGTTTTTTCTCTGTTTTCCTATTTCTCGTAAACGGAAGTGTTTGTTGAAAAAGAAAGAATGGAAGGGAAGGGCAACATTTACTCTATAAGTTAGTTTTTGTTCACTTCAGTTTACTGAAGTCGTTTTCAGAGTAATAGCGAACAACAACTCACGGAAGATTATTTGAAAATGTTGAAAGATAACGTGTTGACTGATTTTGCAATAAAAGTGGGCGAGCGAGAAATTAGAGTTCATCGAGCTATTCTTGCTGCTAGATCTCCGGTTTTTGCTGCAATGCTAAGGCATGAAGACACCAATGAAGCTAAAACGGTAAGTTTAATTATGTATACGTTTTCATTTAATTATTGTGAACTTCATTAGACAAGTTTTCCTTATAACAAGAGTGTAAAAAAAAAGAAAATTATCTTTGCTGAGTACATTATATGTAGCATATTCACACAATAAAATGCAAAGTCATGGGATTCAGTGTTTATTTGTGTAAAATTTCTGTACTTCTTTTGTCATATTTCGAATGCATGTCTTATTATAGGGTGTAATGGTGATCGAGGATCTGGAATATGATACAGTTACGGAAATGCTCAATTTCATTTACTGTGGACGTTGTTTAAGAGATGTTAATGAATTTGCATTTGCATCCGATTTATTAATTGCTGCAGATAAATATCGGCTGGAAGAATTGAAAAGTCACTGTGAAAAAGCCTTGATCCAGGTGAATAGTTTGTAAATATGTTATCCGGGTTTTTTGTTATCTGTCAGTTCGCACCAATTTTGCAGTCGTAATTTGCTGATATCTCTGAATATGAGAATCCAGATGACTCGCGTTAATTTCTATGAAAATTGGATAAGTCATTACGAAATGGAAATTAATCTACTGTTAAAGAAGTATGTTTATCGTACCATCCGGATCTTTTCATTTACAGGCTTTGACATTTGAAAATGTCTGTGAATTGCTCATCATTTCGGATATCTACAGTGCACCGCGTCTTAGACATCGTGCCGTGGAATTTATTATCCAACATCCACGAAATATTACATCTACGCCGGGTTGGGATAATGTTGTCAAACAGCATCATGACCTTGTCACAGATATTGTTCGTCACTTCGATAAATCATCCGACAGAGGTAACTCGTAGAAGATATTTCCGGTGAATTACTGCTACCAGCTGTACAAGTTGATTAATATATGATTTTACTTCGAACTTTCAAATTCGAACATGTATCTTCCCCTCCAATTTGTTTTGTGATATTGTCTTCGAAGTTCAGTCGGAAGGAAGAAAGCGATTATCACCATTTCGTCCAATTTAAAAAAAGGTAATTGGTCCCACATAGTTCAAAATGATTCCACTCGTGTATTCATGCAGAAGTTATGAAATTGTTGTATATTAGGTATTCAATTTTCTACTAGTCTGGAAAACAATCTCTTGATCAATGAAAAGTACATTAAGATTAGATGTCATTGGATCCCAAGTTTGTTCAGACGTGCATACAAATATAAATTTCACTTTGGAAAGAGAACTGAACAGATGATTAAATTTCGGTATTTGTGTTAATGCAGTGGCTGCCCTTAACGAGTACCCTAGAGGCGAACTGTGAAAAAGGTACAAAGTTTTTTCGCTGTGATGATTCTCTGCTTTTTAAAGCACTTGCTTTTTTTAATTCCGATATTTCATTTCATTTTCCTTAGTTCTGATGTTTCATTCTCCCAACTGATCATATCGCTTTTTGAATCTCAAATTTTTACGCTCATCAGTAGATATATAACTATGTTGTATTACGAACGACACGATGTTACTCGTCTTCTTGGTTTGCTACAATACAAAAAGGATGAATTCGCGGGAACATATGTTGATGCCATTTTAAGCTGCTAAGAATTTTACTCGTCAAAATAAGAAATTTGGCGAGCCAAGGATTTAAAATGAACTTGGAAGGAAGCTCATTTCTGCTTTTCCATATTCTTTTAATATGGTTATGGCATATTTGATCTTTGTACCCTTCCAAATTTCCTTCTCTAAATGCCTATCTTGAAATTAGATTTATCTCAAGAGTTTGGGGATATTCGCGATCTTAACGTCTTAAACCCGTTCCCTGTTTCTTTTTCCATCATTTCTTACGCGTCACTCCGAACTCGAATTAAGCTTCGAGTAAAATCAGAGAGCCATGAGCATAGTCCATTAAGTATATCTACAAAAATCGTGACCTAATTTTAGAACCACGTTGTAGCTGGCCTGATACTAAGGTCTATTACACACATTATGTTCTTAGAGAGTAGTGAATAAAATAATTATGCAAAAGAAAGAACAGAGCCCGCTTTTGATTACTTTCCATGAATGATAAACCAAATAGATTTGTTAGAAATTGATACTGATAAAATTCATTTTCCTGACAAAAAGGGACTATTGCTTCTCCGGGGTTGTTGTTCCATTTCTTCTGATCACTTGCGCTGCATCAAACATCCTTTTTTTCTATATTTGTCGTGTAGATTGGTTGTTTGCATTTCATAATGTTTATGAAAATGTAACCTTTCAAGAGTGACACCAACTCATTTTTTTCGAATCATTGCTAATGCTTAGATGCAAAATTCTTTATATCTACTGATCATTTTCCTTGTATACATACTGTGGCATTGGAAATTCTCGGAAGTTTTATAAAATAAAGAATCCAACATGCTGAAATTACATCCATATGCATCTTTATTCGAGTTTCAAAGTGTTTGTCATTTGCGAACTGTCTGCACGATAAAGGCCAAAATTTCTTTTGTTTTCATTAATCCTGTTTATATGAATGGCGTGGAACCGCACCCGATGAAAATAATATGTCAATTGAATAAACATTGTGCGGGAACGGTTCACTTCCCTATGATATCGCCATCTTCGAATGAATTTAACTGTATTATGCTTTTCGAAACGATTATAGGGATGTTAAACTTATGAAATTTCGGGAAATTGGAATAATTATCACCCTCTAAGTTGGGATCTATAACAGCTGTTGAGACAATCCATTTATCTGCAACACATATATTTTCATGAACAGTCATGAGAAAATTCACACCGATTCAATTGCACTGATTCGTTTCTATTGACACGAGAAATTACTGCTAACTTTCAGAGATGCTCATGAAAATTAGGAGCAATTTGTCTAAGAGACTGACACTCCAAGCTCAAAAAGAAAAGTTTTTAATTATTGCGAAAAAATTTAGGAATATTGCAGAAATAGTAACTTACCTTTTCGGAGATTGCGGTCCTCCAAACAAGCAACGGTGGAAAAATTCTTTCTATAATTCAGTTACAAACTCCTATGTCTAACAGTGAAGCTGAAAAGTGCATCACTTACATGAATTAGCGGAAACTTAAATGCTTTTCGAGTTCTACCCATATTATCCAGTACCAATAAGTTAAAGAGCATTTAAATTAATTCGCTCAAAAAAAAAATCATGCTAGATGACAGAATCCATCAACATAAGACACTAATACAGTTCTTGTTATCACAAGAAATTACATAAACTCTGAGAAAAGCTATTCGTGTTCCGACTCCGAATCTTCCGTATAGTCAGATGAATCCTCCAACTGCTCTTCCTCATCTGAATCCTCGTATTTAATTATAGGCATTTCCTTTGCCTCATGTACATCTAACTGAAAATTGAAATTTTAGAAATCATTTGGAATTGAAAATTCAAAAGTAAAAAGGATGGCTATAAAAAAGTTCGCGACCATCATCTACCCGATTTATCTTCGAACTTTCTCCCATTTTTGTAGTTAATTCATTAATTCAACTTATCATTTCGAATAAATGTAACGAATTAATGAAGATTAGAGAGAGGACAAATGTGATGCGGTTTGAAGATATTTAGCCGAAAAGAAAGTGTTTCGTACTCAACTGTTCCATCTTTAACTTTTTATAGTAAAACCATACTTGACAAAACTACCATATCGTGAAGAATAAAATAGTCAAGAAAAAAACAAAAATTTGACCTTTAGATCGAGCAAATAATCACAATCCATATATGAATCCGATTTAACTAATAAGTTATAGTAATATATGCCTTTATGCTGCGGTGCTGCAAACTTCATTTCTACCTGAAATCAATGATAATGAGTACAACTAACTAATCTTTACCATTGTTAATACACCCACATGTGGAAAAAGTCGATAAACTGATTTCGTTTTACTATGATCTACTGGCCAGATCGTGTTTTCAATTCAAGAATAACTGTATGCATACACTTCCAACAAAAAATTAGTTAAAGAGTAGTTAGTATTTTCTGCTTACAAGACAAAATATTTTAAACAAACCGTTTGTTCAGCAACAAGTGTTGTGCAATGCACTGCTGGTACGACCAGCTTGCGAAGTTTCTTGTCAACAAGTAATAACCACCACCACTCGAATTTTTCGCCCGAAAAGTAAGGACAGTGCACTGGATGAGTCTTTTTACTCTTACTTCCCAAAATGGATTCTTTTTTCACCATATTTTCATTCGCCCAGTTTTCATTATCCGATTCTTCCTCCTCCATACCTTCGGAACCACTACCGTTCTCCTTGTCATTTTCGCTGGAAAAAATTTGTATAGGAAATTTGTTTGGCTACATTTTTCTGAAATACAAAATATCTCGAAGAACATATTTTTCCAAATTGTATCAAAAAAGGGGAAATGACTACGAAACATTCCAAAAAGAAATTATCCATATAGTTATCTGACAAATCAGAAACACTGTACCTAAAAGAGCCCACTACGTATATGAGACATCTGATTATATTGATTTACGGCACAACGGCAAAAGTTTCTGGTTGAATTGTTTTTGACTCATAAGGAAGAAATGTAATTATTAATATAGTCAACTTGGAAACCAACTCTTTGACATAGCCTTTTTCGGAACCACTCGGCTCTTCGTTTTCGCTATCTCCAATTGTTTCCATATCATCATTATTCTCTTTCCTATCCTTCTTTTGCCCATCCAATTTTCCTTTGTTGTCTTCTTCTGACTTAATGTTGGTTACAACTTTTTTTATTATTTTAGTTTTCTGTCCCTGTCTATTCTTGGCTGGTTTTGTTCTATTTTGTTTTTTTTTCGGTTTCTCCCATATTTTTCTTTTTGGCACATTGTTGTCCTTTTCTTCGTTTATTTCTTCTTCATCATCCATCGCTTCCACTGGTTCTGCGTCCTTTAAAGTACGAAGACAATTAAACACACAAAATCTCTATTTATGCTGATAATTTTCCTGAACCAAAGAATTCACAGAAAAAAAATCCCAATTTAAAAAAAATGAATTAACAATACCTTTTCACTATCTTCGCGCATTTCTTCTTCCCGTTTGTTTGAATCTAACAACGGACTTCTTGTCAAAACAATTTTCAAAGTAACAACTGAACCAACTGTTACTTTTTGCGCGTCATCTTCGCCTTGTACTGCAAAAGGTCAAAATAAAAGTACGCATCAAAATAATGAAAGCTAAATAAAAATTGAGTGAAAATTAATTTACCCTCAAAATGTGGCTCAATATTTAGCTTAGGCATCGACTGCAGTACAAAGACTATATCATTGTATTCTGCATCACTTAACGATTGCAACACCTGACGACGTTTGATTTCATTTAAATTTGCAAGGTCTGCACATGTGATTATACGGTTCTAAAAAAATCACATCACTGAACAGATTTTTGAAATAGTGAGTTTATATCACGATATCGCTCAAAAACTCAATAAACATCAATATATAAATTATTTTGAACTCACGAAATCCCTAAAAAGAAATTAAAAACTCTTCTTACGAAGTAGGGGAAAAAGGAATACAGTGCAATTCTTTACATATTAATTCTGTACAACGTGTTGGATTTCCGTAAAAACACAAATGTTGGGCGAGAGCTAACATCCCGTTACGAAACATTATCTTTTTAAGGAGAAAAAGAAAAAATAATGCAAACACTAAAACTGCCTTAATAATAGAAAACATGCTTACACGACGAAAATAGTGCAAATTTTGTTCTGTGATATGTGGTAATTGTAATAAAGGACTATTTTTTGGCCATAGTGCTTGGACAACCATTGGCAATAATTTTGTCAAATTTTCGATAGTATCCAAAGATGGGCAACGTGCTGGATTTCCATAAAAACATAAATGTTGGGCAAGAGCTAACATTTCGTTGGTAAGCATGACACATTTTGAAATCACATAAGCACTATCTAAAATTGTCATAGTAGAGTAAGCACATTGCTAGTAACACCATCTATTTTGAAATATCACTCCATTTACCATAAAATGGACACATAATGTACTAAAATATGATTCACCATATTTTGATACTGCTAATGATCATCCATCCTTAATATTAAATATTGCTGGTTAAGCAACATGAGTAGATGTTAAAAGAATGCAAAAGTTTTCTGAATTCTGTGAGTGAAATTCGTCAGAATTAAGAATTCCTTGAAGAAAAAGCCCGAAATATTTTCGCACCTAATTCAAAATATTTTGGAAAATATAAGACATTACCACTTCTTAAATTAGACGAATCAAGTGCAAAACGCGACAAATGAGCGTGGATGAATACGCGTGCTTTAACAGAATATGGTAAGCAAAGAGGTCGTTCCTTCTTGTTTTCACTTAAATTTTTGAACAACTTTATAATGGGTGGCAATTCAACATCGTCACTTTCACGTTCCACAATTTCCTTATTGTACTGCCTCCAGAACTCAAATGAACCACTAAGCACCATTAAAATACCTAAAAAAATACGATCATATATAATAAAATAACCTAATTCTTAGAAAATTGGTGGACATAAAAGCAAAATACATAGCTGTAAAGAAATATACAGACTACATCCACCCACACTTCTTTTGAAACCCTTCGTGCTGTAAAATCTACATAAGCAATATAATGTTAAAAGAGGAAACATAAATCTTTAATACCTACGATTTATTTCCATTTTCGGTGTTTTATGGAAAAAATAATAATACATTTCGGTTGTATCCAATAATACTTGATCAATACTATACTTAATGGAATTATACCACCAAAATCCCTAAAAATAATAATCAAAATAGAGAATGCTCCACTACAACGTTAAAGGAGACTCACATTAAAAGTCGAACAGTAACAAATACATACAACAGCTGAAGGAAGCAAAACCATGAGGACGAAGCCATAAAATGCAAGGACCCAGACACCGTATTCCTTACTCACTATCCATTTCGGCAATGCAATTCCAAATGTAGTTGCTAAATTCATTTTAATTATTTCGTAGATCAAATAAAAAAATGGCTTACAAAATGACATATATATGTGTCATTGAGACATATTATATAATATTCAAGTTACAATTTATTGCAACTTTTATAAGCATTTAAGACGGACGTATGTAAACATTAACTAAAAAACTACCAGCTGGTCCATCAGGATTGCCATATTTCTCCCAATTCTCTCTACTTTCGTCATCAGTTAATGCTTGATATGCTTTCGCAATGCGATCAAACTGCACTGGATCACCTCCTTTATCAGGATGCATTGTCTTACTTAATTCGCGGTATTTCTTTCTAACAACTGAACTAGCAGCTCCCTTTAAAAAAAATTTTTTTAATCTTTATATTTTAAAATAAGAAATGATTATCATCTTATAAACCTTGAAATAGGGGAGATCAAGAATTAGAATAGTAAGGCGCAAGAAAATCACCTGATCGATACCAAGTATAGCATATGGGTCATACTCGGTATGTTCAACTTCAATTTGCGTTACTTTACGTATGATGATAAAAAATAAGATCCACGCTAAGGCTAGAGCTAAAAAAGTTAGAAATTTCTTAGTCCTCCGCCATGGCCGCTTTGCTTCTGCTTTCATACGTTTTTCAGTACATCCTTCACAACAGCAGTGTTCCCTCCGTTCAGTTTTATCTGAAATTCGGACCATTTGTATATTATCGCTAACTGTAAGGACGCTGTAATTGGACAATTATCGATATACCAGCATCTGATAAACTATGTTTCTTAAGATATAAGTTTTCGCAAAAAGAAGAAAAATGCTTTTATGAAACCAAATAGCATCAACTACTTTTTGACGAACAATGATATATTGAGGTAGCCATTTTGTGCCTGCAGCGAGGAGCAGTATGCTCTTCAGAGGAATCACAACTGGAAGAAAAAACTGAAAGTGTTCCTGCACGTCAAGTAGGAAGAAAGTTTTGTGTTAAAAGACCAACCTAATTTACTTGAAGGCCAGAAAAAAAATGTTGCTGGTATGAGGACCAAAGCATAAAATGATACTAGCACATAGTAGAATGTGTTACCCACTTCATCATATTCAAACTGTGCACGGCCCATCATCACAACTCTGCAAATGAACACTAGTGAAATGGGTAAAACAGATTTTCTTTCATGCAAAAAAATTTTTTTCCAGAAGATCTAGCAGTGGAAGGCAGAAACTTCATATTAAGATGCTAGACGCTTTGTAATTTGATTTCCAGTCATGATTCTTCATCTTCTCTTGGAAAGTGAAGGTAAGAACTTCTCGCAATCTTTAATTATTATAGATACGCACTAAAATTTAGCAGCTTGTTTTGGATATGATGAGCGATGCTATTAAGCAGTCCAAAAAAGATGAAGGAGCTCGTTGATATCAGTTGGCATATATGGCTACAGATAAATTAGACCCTCGAACATGCCACCAACTTCAATCTCTCCATCCAATTCCTCAATACAGTGGCGTGACCACGCCGACCTGCTGATATATCATTGTTGAAAGTTGCGTTTACTAACTGCGTCGCTATGAAAATGGCTTGTTCCATTGAACTGATTTGTTTTCTTGCGGAATGCAAGTCTTTATTTCCCTACCGTACATTTACATCATGAAAGCATAGGGCGCGGTTTTTATCTTTCTGGTGGAGTGTAACAATGGGTAGCACTTCCATTCCAGAATAATTTGTCATTGAAGAGTCATGGTACTTCTTTGGATTTTAATTTTGTCACGGTAAACTAATCGTATTCCATTTTGAAGATCACATATTTCAATGTCACATCTTACAGCAACTTTGATTCGTTATCAAGTGGTAGTGCAAATGGTATCATGGCATGATATTGTAAAAGTCTTGAAAAGCTTATGCACTATTGTAAGACTCTTGAAAATACCCCAATGTAAGCTTAGAAACGAGGAGCGAGGTATTAGTTTGAGTATCATTGATGTTTATTGTAAATGACAACACTTATACTAACCGGAAACATTGATCTGCAGTTGTTAAGGTACCAATTTATAGGTGTTGTTTCATCTCTATTAATTTTTTCTCTTGGCTGCAGAAACCAGTCCTGTCCTATCTAGGAGTGTCCTCCCAACTTTTGACCTGAAAGAGTTACTAATGCCTGCTTTCTCATTCCATCGCCGTTTGAAATTCCGGTCGCGCCATATGTACTCTTACAACACTGCAAAAGTCTGCTCATCAAATGTATCAATCGATTTATCGATTACGAGAGGAGAGAAGGGAAGAAAGAGTATTTGAGAGAAAGAGAGAAAGAGAGAGCTCCCTTCTCGATATGTGTACTCCGCCGATTGATGTCTACTATATATACTCAACTACGTGTTTCTGCGGGTTGGTTGTTCGGCTCGAAGGGAGGCTCTGGTGTTGATGGTTGTGGGAGTTCTGAAACTCTCTCTTGAGTCTGTTCTTTAAACCGCGAACATTCAGGGCATTTTTTCCGTCCGGAAAGTTATTGACTTGGAATTCATCGTTAAAATGTATTTTCCACCTACTATCTCCAACCGATCAGCAGCTGATCTTTACGATTCTCCTCAACTGTTACAGTTCAGCACATAGCACATCATAGCATAATATATTGCTCGTCTTTAAGGGCCCAGAAAATCGATTGATCTGATTTTTGATCATTACCTTCCATTTCTGCAGTGCTTCTCGTAGGGTAGAGGATATATGTTGTGTCTTCACTTTAGGGAAAGAATGGTAGTTCGACTTTACTTATTTACATTTCGTGTTTTTTTGTCTAGATAATTTATTTTTCATATCTTATTGCTAGGCAATGCGTGCTTCTGAGGGAAGAATCATTAATTTTTTTCGATAAATTTCTATGGGAGTATTTTCTTTCCTAAACATTCATAAATTCATGTCAATATTTATCACAGAATCTTACATTTGATATTCTACAAATTTCAAAAATCAATTTTCTTGGTTTTCTTGCCATGAAGGCTGTGATTGGTCGCTGATGGAGATCCGTCCAGGATCTTCAGCCTATATTTATCTCTAAATATTTAGCTTAGTTATCAATTTCATATTCGTCATCCTTCGTGCTCTCCATTTAACACAGCTCTTATGTATCGTGCACTCATTCATCATAAAATCGTCACCGTTAATGATCTTCCGTTCAAAATTTCCCTAGCGCTTCCGATAATGGAAGGGAGAAGTAAGATGTCAGGGACACAAAGACATTTATGTTGTGAAATGTAATCAGGGAAAGGACTTAATGGTAAACTTAATGCTTCCCGTTTGAACAATCATTTTTTCATAGCGCGACTGCAAAATATTTTGAAAGAGAAATATTGATTGAAAATGGGAAATTCGGCAAAATTCCAAAGTGGCATCACAAATGCAGTAACGCGAACTGATAAATGCAAAGAAATTCAATTTAATTTAAAACGCAATATGGATCTGAATTGTGCGTCGTCATGTTGCTATTCAATTATCGCATTGCTAAAATATTCTAATAAAATTACTTGATACGTGGTCGAGAACTTGCTGCTTTATGCTCAAGTAATATTAAATCATATTATTTGCGACAAAAATAACTTTATAATCTTAATACCGCGTGTATCTTCCAAATACATAATTTCTTTTTAAATACATAACGTGCATGTGATTTTCGAGCCTATTGAAATTTCTACATTTATTCAGTTTCGTGCATAATTATCGTTTAGCATTAACCATCAATCTTAAATTACGAAAATTTTTACTGATAATGGCTTAAAATTTACAGCATCAATGTAAATGGTTAAGCTGGTTAAGTCTTAGATTCTTGTAGCTTACTTTTTAATTACTTTAGATAGTTTATTACAAGTCTTGTTACTCCATGATATATTGCTGTAAAGCTTGGGGAGACTTCATGGGATGGAAGATTTTCATATCGCAGTGGGAAGGTTTCAACGTGAAAGCTGCTTTTTGGGTATTTTTGAGTGTTGTTGGCCTTCTGTAGTTTGCTGTTTTTTATGGGTTTCATGGGGACAGGTCTCAGTACTTTCGTGGTTATCGCGTAATTAACTTCATGTGAAGTCGTCTTGATATTTTATATATTTTTATAGTAGTAGGAAGTTAGAATTTTTTCCCGGGTGGGCTGTTTTATAGTCGTTCATCGGTGATAAAATCATTACTAAAAGAATGATTTCATTTCGTCAGGTTAACTTTAAACTGCACCATGATTATTCTTAATTCCAAGTGTTACTGTTTTCACTGGTCATATATTTCTTATTTTAACACTCCATTCTGCACTTGGTTGAAGTTTCCTATGCTTTAAAACCTAACGTATAAAAATTTTGGTTGGAGAAGGAGAATTTAATCAGCAAATAAGACATAGCTCAATGTTACATAACATTCTGATGTTTCAAATTTAAAAAATCAAAAAACTTCTTGTAAATTCCACAGCAATCTTAAACTTGTTTTCTTAATTAGATCATTCATTCTGATAGTCCAACTATCAGTGGATAATCTCGTACGCTTTTAAACACGCACTCATTGCATCACTTAATATGTTTCATTTTCTGAATAGACTGACTTTCTTAAGTAATGTAAGGCTAAATAAATTTCATAAAATTGAATATTTTGTTCATCGAGTGAATGCCGCCTCATGCAAATTGGGTTTGATTTATACGAAGTTATGAGTGATGTTTATGACCGTTGGTCATTACAATATCTAAACATAAATTTCAAAACATGTTTATGGAAACGAAGAAAATTGTCATTATTCATAATCTGATATTACGACACTTGATTATAGATTTTGAAATTTAGTTTCTAGAAATTTGAATCGCTTGAAATTTAACCCACCCTTCATTAAAAAGCATCAGAGTATCCCAACTGAATCTGTCGACTCATCAACATTCATCCAAATACAGAGTAATAATTTGAAAACATCTAATTATGGAATCGGAATTTGGTTTAATGACGGATTTTATTTACCGAATTTTCGAAACCATCACGTTGCATATATCTTGATGAAGAAATACATCAAAAGCATCCTTTGCTCCATCACTCTCTTCATTTCGGCCAATTTTTGCTCTTGATCAACTGTTTTTCTCAATTTAAATTTATGGAAGTGAATGGGAAAGTGAACTAACCTTAGATCCCACAAGAGTGCGAAACAAGGTGGGATTTTGCATTTAGCAAACGAAATAAATTTCTCAAAGAGTATGCACATTTACATGTATGCACGGTTCTTTAACTTCTTTCAAAAATAATTAAAACTTGCCTTTATTGAAAATTAATTGGATTTGAAACTAATTTGTACCTGGTGCTTACCTTTTCCCTCTCGATATTGTTCACTTTATTGTGAGTCGTCCGCAAAATTATCTTGCATTCTTTATTCTCGCTTTTTTCCAGTCTTCGGTTAAATTTAATTCATAGCAGCTTGTCGAATTTTTAAATTTGAAAGGGAAGTCTCTCTAAAATCAAACGAAATTTTATGTTACGAGCTAAAGAAATTGGTATCAACAACCTGCAGATTGCTAACTCAAAATATTTTTTGGTTAACAAACGAAATTATTTTATTTCCCTAAACATTAATATGCAGTTTAGAGAGAGTTAAAACGCAGATTTACAAACCGAACATATTAGTCGAAATAATGGAGAGGCGTTTCTTTACTTGTATCGCGAAGCGTTGCTGGAAATTAGTAAGGTACACTTGTGATTCAGGTAGATTTAATGTCTTGGATAATTCGTTTACAACGTTTACCGTTATCTGCGAATGCAGCAGACATTCGAAGTTTCTTCGCCGGACTACGGATACCGGATGGTGCGGTACATATTGTTGGTGGGCCAGATGGTGATGCTTTCATTGGTTTTGCCACTGATGAAGATGCTCGTCAAGCGATGCGTTTCGATAATCGGCGCATACATGACCAACGCGTACGTTTGCTGTTGTCATCACGCGTTGAGATGGACGCCGTCATTGCAAAAGCTCGTGCCGGGGACCTGAATGTCGTCGGGGTAGCGTCGGTTGCATCCGTTGCTACTTCATCGCTTAGACGTGATAGTTCTCCGGCAGCACGTCCAGGCGGCGTCCAAGTTCCGCCTGCTTCTACAGCGGATAGTTTTGGAAATCAGCGTGTCGCTCAATCACAGCCGGCTGCTACAGACGTCTATGCAACAAGAAATGGCGGACATGGACAACAAGATTATGCAAGAGGTATATTGCTGAAGATTTTAATAATTTTAAACGTGCGATATTTCACTTATGACGTACAAATCTTAAAATTTTTTTAGAAAAATACGAAGTTTAAATCCTGAAAGTTGAAATTTGTTTCTATTATTCACGTTCATTAAAGTGTTACATGATGGGCAGAATAAACAGTTGCCCAGTTTAGAACATGAACTATTTGAGGCGGAGAATACAAGCATTGTAGTTAAAATTTGTTCAGATTATTTTGCGGTAATAAAACTCCGCTGTAATTGGAACCGTAACAAACTGATCAACAGTTTCTAAAATTTTATATCAAGTTGAAAATATCCTAATTCAAATTTGTAAGACCTTGGTATAACTAGAATTATCCTGGAATATTCAAATAATGAATTGTTCTGTTAATAGATGAAATTTTCCTAAGTATATCAAAATGTTAATTCAAATTCTATGAATTATCAGTATCATCAAAAAGCAGACGGCTCTTCACAGTACCATATTTTAGTAAAAGATTGATTAGTTGAAGTTGCAAGCATATGTGCATCAATCATATTATTTCAAGTTAAATATGTCATTATGTTAAAAAGTCTTCCCTACCTACCACGGCGAATGGTATTGTAAGAACAGAAACTGCTACTTGTAATGACAGTATATGTTGGATAAGATTTGTACCGATATATGCAAACAAACAGTGACATGCAAGTGTTACCTTAGGATGATCATCCTTAGTTTTGTTTTTCCATACAGACAAAAAATTAGCTCATTTTTACGAGCCAAGAACAACAGAACTCGCTTTGGCGATCGATGCATTTCTCGCGCAAGAAGTGCTCTTAGTTTCGATACAAATTTTAAAATTTCGTTAAAGCATTTCCAAAAGAAATTCTCCTTTTAACTACTAAACGAGTTCTGTTGATTTTGAAGTAAAAAAATTGGATTCTCAGTGAAAATTTGCTAGTTTTATAATAAATCATGCTTTATAAAAATTGATAATAATGAGCGTTTTCAATTGGTGTGGGTTTACTATTTCCTCCTCAGCGCTTGGAAATTTCTGAAATTATAAAGAGAAATGTGATTTCGGTAGGAAGCTGCACATATCAATACTGGGTTTAGTACAATAGTTTAAACTTTAGAAGTAGGTAATTATTTGCTTAATAATAGATGAAAATGAAGCCTCTCTGTTTTCTGTCTTGTTAGTTCTTTGAGATCTTCGGGATTTTTTCTTGTCTTTGGCAAATTGATTCATCTGACCCTACACTCAGACACAGTTGATGGGTGGCGTGAAAAAGGAAAATAGGGCGAGTTTGAACACAGATAACAAACAATTCTGAGACTGTACATGACCTCTTATGTTAAAATAAAATATAATTACATTGATAGGTTAACAGATTGATAACTTGTTCATTACTGCTATATAAGAATATCAAAATTATGGATAAAACTGTTCTGCGATTTAAATTTTTGTTTATATGAAAGTTCTCATTGAATTCTTATAAGCAAGTAGAATTTATTGTACTTGTTGCAACTCAAAATTTTTTAGCTATTAACCTGGAAAAATTATCAGGAAACGTTTTGATCATCCTTTGCTTGCATTACATGCACTTTACATTTCCTCATTGAGGATTGAAATATTTACTGTCATTCCTTTTGACATTATTTCATCATTCATAACAAGATGTCCTTTAACTTAAAAAGAGCACGAACTTTCCAAAAAATCAACGGAAGCATTACAAGTGATGCAATCCTGAGACTTACCTATCAATACTCTAATGTTTATTAGTTTTCCTTTTTTGCGAATAACATTTTTTGCTGATTCTCTCTTTCTTTCTCACTGTTTCCAGTATTTTCAAAAAAAAAAAAAAAGATGCAAAACTGAAAAATGAAAAAAAGTTTTAACATAGACATTATCTTTTAACTGATAACTTACCGTTTGAAGAAGGCGCTCCATAAGCAATAAAATTTCTAAAGATATTGGAAAGTGAGAAATTCAATAACAAATTAAATGATTAAGTGTAAAAAATTGAAAAGCCAAGAAAAGAAGTCCAAGAGATCTGTTATTTGGTCTTGTCTGGCTCTCTTGAGCTATTTTCATTTAAATGAAACATCTTGGACTGTAAGCAATATTCCTTTGTTCGCTTCGCATCCTTGATCCAACATTCTGTGGTATTAAAAATTTATCACAAAAAACGTTGAATTCTTTTCACAGTTCGTTTTATCAAGATACTTTCATATGAAATGAATTGAGGTATATGTGCTCAACAAGTACACTTCAAATTTAATGCGATGGAAATTATTACTGTATTTAAATAATCCTCAAGAATAGTATATTAGTGGTGCTTGTTTAAATAGGTCTCTGCTGCTATGCTTCTGATTAATTTGTAATAAGAAAATTAAAAATCGTAAAACAGTTGGGCTCTTTAATCATTTAAAATGTAAACTGGAGTATTTCGCCATATTGAAATTATTGAGGATAAATACATCATTGTAATATTTGAATATGATCTGGATGAACAGAAAAGCATAACAGGAAACAAACAGTAGCTGGGAATCCTCTAGAAAGATGTGATAGTGTTCTGAATTGAAATTAAAACTAATTGAATTAAGCAAGATTTGGATTTAAAAATAAAACTAGAATTGATCTTTAGCTAATGTATCAGAGGATGCTTGGAATCGTTCATCCGATGGTCCTCTGTCAGATTCCTGGAAAAATGGTTCCCAGGGAAGTTACGAACCTCGTACAATAAATCGTCAAGTAACAACAACAACACAATCACAACTAGGACATTCAATTGGACCATGGCAAGATCCTAAAATGCTTAATGTATTGGGACAAACTACACAATCCAGTTCTGTGTAAGTATTTCATTTCCTCAATAAAAAGCATTGTTGCCGACATCTCAATAACTTTATATACATAGGGGGCACTATTAGGTTTCAGCTGCAATGAACTCTACAAGTCTTTAACTTCAAATCTACTAAATAAGAATAAATCAGAATCACTTTCATTTACAGGTATCAACAGTCTAATCGTGACGAACGATTCAGTCAGTATGACCAAGACAATAATTTTCAAGGTTATAACGCCAGCGTGCAAGCAGTAGTAACAGCAACAGTTGCTTCCAGTGCAATTACGCAAGTTCCTCCGGTATTAAATCAATCTTCCTTTTATTTAACTGTCTCCAAAGACGTTCTACCCATGTGTTTTTTAGATAAAAAATCGAAAAGTTCAGATTTAAACGAGATTTAATTTTCAAAACTTTTTTTGGATTTCACATTGAAGCAAAAGATTTCCGTTTCTTTGCAGATATATCAGCAAACTAATGTTGCTGCTCCTGCAGTACTTTCGGGTCAAGTCCTGCCATTACCGCCGTCAATTCCGGGCCTTCTTGTACCACCACTATTGACAAATACTTTACCGGCCAGCGCTGCTACTGCCACTCAGCCTGCATCTGGGTTAGCAAATGCTCATGCATTTGTTGCACGATACACTGGACGCAATGGACCAGTATTCTCAGCTTTGTCAACACAGCAGTAAGTTGTGTTATATAAGATAATTCGATTCGATTCTATCATGGTGGTAATGGCGTATTATGCAGAATCATCTGAAAGAAGCTCATAATGTCAACTACTGAACGTTCATTTTTATTTTCCTTCTAGTTAACATGGTAGTGATTAATTTTCATCTAATTATTATTCGTTTCATGACTTAACCATGATTTAACGATGCTATTTATCGAGTCATAAAAAGCATTATAATTTTACATGTTCGTCGATGATACGAAAGGATATGAGAAAAAGCTTCATTTTAGCTGAAAGAAATGCTAATTTTTAGCAGTTTGGCAGACGATAAACAGAACTGTTATGTGGAACTCAGTCGGCTCCCATCAGAACTTTTGCGCCCAGCAGCTCTTGAACAATTCTTGCGTCCATCGACACCCCTCACACTCTCATCCGTCAAAGTTGTTTTCGATCCAAAAGGTAGTTTTTTTTTTTTTAATTTAAACGAAGTAAGAGCCTTCCAAGTGTTATTTTATGGGAATTTAAATCTCAGGAAACAACCACATTTTTAATGGACCATTTAACTGAATAATTTCGAATTGTTTAAGGTTTCCCATTGCATTCGCTAGTGCGTTTTGAGTGTGCGAAAGATGCCAAAAATGTACTGGAAAGGGATGGAGAACAAGGCATAAGGTAAGATTGATGCAGTTCTTAATAATCATTCCTTCATAATTTTATGAACAAAATTTTGATTTCTTTAACACTATAGGATCCGTTCTTGTCCGAAGGAAGTATTCGATAACGCAGTAGATGGCAGTCTGCAAATTCCGCCAGCTTTCTTACATGGCACAAAGGAAGCAGATTATAACGAAGAAAGAAATTCACGTATAGGCGCTTCATCACGACATCACCGTAGTCCCGTATGATATTATTATCAATATCGTAAATTAAAAAAAATATGGATTCTATGGAATTTTTTCTTTCAAGAAGATTTCGAAATTTTATAGGCAATCATAGACAATTAAAGTTCTTTATGCCCCACTTTTTTCCCGCATGAATTTGAACGAGCCGTTTTACGAATTACATTTCATTTTAAACTCATATGTTGCATGTGCGATATAAGTCTTTCTAGTTGTGGGAAAAAGTTGGGACGTAAATTTTTATAGTTGCAGGAAAGACGTGATTTTGATGGGAGGTATGATGAACGTCCCCGTACTTTACGTGACCACGAAGATCGTTATCGTGCTTCACGATACGGCCGCTCACGTTCACCGCGAGATTATCGGGATTATCGTGACGCAAAACGACGTGGAGTTGATCCCGGTCGTTATTGTATCGAATTTACCAATTTGCCGTTTCGGGTAACCGAAGCGGAAATCCGAGAGTATGTCTAAAATTTCTTGTAAATTGCTTCAATCATAAATGGAAATCATAAATCACAATCATCAAAGAACAATTTTCATGAATTTTTTTTATGAATTTTGTAGTGCTCAGGTAGCAAATCACCTCTCATTATATTCGTTGATAATATCTCGGCACTCATATTCCCTGCGTAGAATAAAGCTCAGTTTCTTAAGTGGAAGCGTTTATCGAAATTGATTTAAAGATATCTTGGTCCACGTTGTGAGCCAACAAAAGTGACTCGGGCTTATAATGAAGACGGTCAAGCATCAGATCGTTGGATTGCTGAATTTAGCACATTTGATCTGGCAGAAAAAGCGTATCGTGTGCGAGGTAAAATCAATGAAAGACCAATTCGTGCAAGGAGGTGCGCTTTCACGTTCTTTGATTTTAAAAATGAGGATATGAAATAGTAGTTGAAAGAGTTGAAAAGACTATCGAAAAATATTTTGTGCGTATGAAATCTCGCTCGTTGAATTAGCTGCCTAAATTAAAGCAAGAGATAAAAATAGGCTATTTTCAGGATAACAAACGAAGACGCAGACCAGATGTTGGCAGTACCAGACAGATTTGGACGCCAAAAGAAGGAGGAATATGAACGGAAACATGGAAGCGACTCATCAATTGCTCCACTTCTTAATCTACCAAGTCGATCTGCTGAAATAGGTCTTCATTTTCAAGATCCTTCCAAAGGTAGTTTTCGTGTTTTCCTTTGAAGCTCTTTCTTTTCTTTTGATTTTTCACATTAGAAGTGTAGGTGAAAGTTAAATTTTTAGTTGATTCAGATAAATTTTTAAATGAGATCACAACTTAATTTCTGTTCATTCATAATAAACTTCACATTAGACTGGATAAGTTTGAAAATTGTTATGTTTAGGTCGTGGTAGCCGAGGACGAGGAGGATTGTATCGAGGTGGTCTTATTCATGGATATCACGGTGAGCGTGAAGTTGGAGATGCGCTGTCTTCTAATAGTTTGAATGGAACAGCTAGCTCATCATCTGTGGCACCACCTCGTTTTCCAACCTTTCGTCTACATGGAGGTCTTTTGCCAGGTATCGTTATAACATCTTAAGTCCTTCTTTAAGAATTCATACCGCATTTCATTCTTTTTAATAACGACTTCTTTGTTTTTGAAATGTTGCTAAATCTTTTAGGAAGCCGATCTCGCCCACCGCTTATCTCTCCACCTACCTTTTTCGGAAACACAACACCCTCAACAATACGACAGCGTGGTCCACCCCCTTCAGGTCGTGGCCCTCCTCTACTTCGTGGCCCACGTCCTCCTATACTTCATCCACCAAATAATGGACCAGCGGGACCGATTCCAGCCATTCCACCTCCAAGTGTGAAATCGTGCTTAATGATCGAAAACGTTTCTGAGAATGAAACTGATGCAGACGTTGCCAAGTTCTTGCAGCTAAATCAGGTAGCTCAAGGCAAGTTTCTTCGCGATATTGCTCATAATAGTTTGACTGAAATTTGATGATAATGTTTTTCTCCATGTTACAGTTATAAAGCTTTTATCATTTTAGCAACATTACGTCGGGCAGCTGATGGAATATTCTACGTTGATATGGGTACCATGGATGAAGCGACGAAAGCAGTGCAAATATACAATGGTTTGAAGCTTGGTGAAAATACCATCACACTCACAGCAATTACCCGACAACAGATGCATTTCGGTGTTGATAAGAAAGTTGAATCGGTGCGTTCAAAGACTCATTTTTCTAAATCTAATCATAAAATTTGAAATTCGACGTAATAACGTTGTTCAGAATTCACTGCTTTTATTTGATATAAGCAGTAAATCTCTATTTTTAATTATGTCGGCAGGACAGTTCTTTGGGTGAATTTTATGATTACTATGAAGGTTAAATGAAATTTAGGTAGAAATGTTGGAACCGGAACTGATTGCATCCGTAGGAGAGCCAGGTACAGTCATTAGTTGTCATGGTTTTCCGGCAAATGTCACCTTGACTGATGTGGCTCAGTTCTTCGACAAATATTCGCTGGTGGAAAGTTCCGTGAGAATAAAGCTCGATGATAGTGGAGTACCAACGGGCGAATGTCTCCTAGCTGTCGGCTCACCGCAGGTTTGTATTTTTGCTAGTTTAATATCAGAAAATTGAAGAAATCTTCTTATGAGGTTGAAAATCCAGAGCAACTCAATTTTTTGAAAGACAATGGACTTTTTGGAATAAAATTTGGTAATTTACCACTTGGTAATAAGTAATAAAAATTTCCTTTAAATAAAATAAGAGAGAAATGTCGTTGTTTTTCTGATTCAGTTGCGGAGAGTTTGTTTAATTTTGAACATAACTTATAACATCTCGTTGAAACTTCATAATTTTAGGAAGCGAACAAAGCCGTAATGCTATTGAGTGGTCGGAAGCTCGCTGGTTCAACTATAACAATGTCTGTTGTTCGAGCAGCTACAAAACAGTAGTTCAATTTGCTAATAGTGTCTTTTGCTCTTTTTTATGTAATTTAATAGAATTTAGAAGAGGTCTTTTCAAATGTCTTTGTTTTTTCTTTATTTTTTGTATTTTAAATCCTTTTTTTATCTTAAAAATACATAGTATGAATTGAAATGTAAGTCAGTAAAATATGAATTTATTTCTGCTAGCTTTAGAAATCCAGAAACGAATTATAATAACTCGGTTATGCAGTTAAATGCTGCTAGCAAAAAATAATTTTCCCTAAGAAATTTTTGTTAAAGTCCAGCTAGCCTTTTATCCTAAATTTTATGAAATTCATTAAATTTTCGGAACCAGAAAGTTCTTAGCAGTCTTTGGAAGAACTGCTACATTCTAGCACTTATTGAGTTTGATTATCTGGATTCCTCTGTTGCCCTCCTTCATTCCTTTTGTTTTTCTTTTTTTGTTGTAGTGTCATCCCTCAGGGATAGATGCTTTATTGATCTCGTTGTGTGCAAATCAAGTAACCAACTTCTGTCTTTGCCTTTTGAATTTCACGTAACCCTATTATGATATTTGCTGATGAGTAACATGTAAGTGGTTGCCTTTTATTCTGTTTTTCAATTTCAGGTTTTGGTTAAATCAGCACTTTAAAATTTTTGAAATATGTCGTCCTTTATATTCATTACTTTAACTTACTTTTGCAGTTGCTCCATTGATTGTCATTTTTTGTTTTTTGCTGCGGTAATTCATAAATCTGATATGCTGAAATATACAAGTTGAATTATTAAGAAATTGCATACAGTGTTTCAGGCGAAAGATATTTGCTAATAGTGTTTATCAGAAAATATGCTAATTATCTGAATTGTTCGAAACTTTATTGCGTGAGCTCAAGATGGAACATTCTTGATTTTCTACGAATGTAGAGAATCAGAATATCCAAAGCAAATATACAATTGTCTTATAGAGTATACAGTTGATGAAATGAAAATTACACGGAGCATTAGAAGATATCTTTGTTTTGTTTTATTTCTCTTTTACTTTCTCAGAAACTTGGGATCCATTTCCTTACTGATGATTTTATAATCTGATCGTCGGCTTATGTTTAGCTGCTAATACATCTGTCGAGGTTATAGTCAATGGTTGTGGTGAGCGAGCGCAATGAAATTATTAATGACTTCCCGTGCATTGTTTTGTGATTTTGATTTTGAATGGTAGACATTTCGTGGATGCATTCATTGAATGATGGGTAGAAGAACTGCTGATAACTTTTCCATCGACCATTTATAGATTTATCAGAAAAGATAACATTCATCTTTTTCGGAATGTGAACCCTTTTGCCATTCCAATCAGTTTTCTAAAGCACCGTACACCATAAATTGTCAGCAAGGTCCTATACTTACGCTTATAAGATATGGATTGAGATTCAGATTAAAACTTTAGATACCAGAGTTTTAGAATCGTGAGCCCATTCACGTTTTTTTTCTTTTTTAGCTTAGCTTTTCCGAAAACGAAGGAATAGTTCTCCAGAACAGATTCTTTGGTCTTATCTGAACATCTTTTACTGAAGTATAGCAGACCTTTGCGTTAATTTGTACCTTAAATTTGTGGGTTTATATGAATAAAAAAGAAAAAACGTGAATAGGCTCACGATTCTAAAACTCTAGTATCTATTATGTTTCATTTGAGAAAAGTGTGGTTCGAGCACTTTTAATTTTGAAAGAAATCGAAGTTCCTTCTATATCAGGTTGTTGGTTGCCTCAGCCAGTTAACTCTAAAAAGGAAAGATGGATAGTGAAAACATGCCAATTTAAATATTGAACTCGTATATTAGGCTATAACCTTTTATTAAGATCATCTGCAAGTAAGGAATAACCGCTCGAGATGCAACTTATATTATTTTATACAAGAAGTTGAAAATGAAGTTCGAAGTTTTATAAAGAAAAATCCAAGATCACATGTTTATTATATTTCAGCCGTATTAAAGATTTGATAATACAACAAATGATGAAGGTATAATTATAAAAGTATAAACAAATACAACTTCTCTTTTAAAAAATTCTCATCACTACACTGCAACAATAGGATTTTTAAGAGAGTATTATCAGCAAAGTTATTTCATAAGAACAGAAAGGTGTTTCAATAAGGTAGCCCATGTCAGCCCAATTTCATTAATGAAAGGACAGAAGCCGAACTTATCACGACGGTTTAGATTCAATAACTTTTATTTACAATGCCCCCATATTCCGGTTCTCAGGAAAGCTTAATTATGCAAACCATAGTTGTATGACACATTATTCACACTATCTAATTATCGAAAAACTCAACTTATCATTGCTTCTGTTTGAAATATTAAGTATATCATAAGCAGTTTGCAACATACTGCAAACGTTCTCTTCTGTTGCGAAACATTTTCAGCTGATTGCAAACATCAGAACTTACGTCATTGATTATTTCAAATTTCTACGCAAACATTTCATTGAAGAGTTCTCCTCGTGCATGTTTCCTGCACCTGAATTAAGAATTCAATCACGGAAAAATTCTCGACAACTTCTTTCGATTAACAAACGTCTGCGAATCTAATTGACAACGCAAATTATGTGTAATTTTGGAAACTTGTTGAAAAAAGAGCCTATTATGATTATGCTATCCACTCTTCATCAATTTTGCTATCATTTCTATTAATGAAAAGACGACAATATTGCAAACGATGTAATTGAAACAATAAATAGGCTTAGATTCAGAATGTAAATGTAAAGGATACAAAATTATAGATTTTCAAAAGATTCTTGACCAGTGTTTTATGTAACCTCGCGAAAAAAAGTTAGACGCTCAATTCCAATGCAAAATTCCATCTCCTCTTATCATTCATTTCTATTTCACATCAACGACTATGATGTGGTTTGAAAACAAACTTCAATTTCTTTTGGTCAGTTCATATAACAAGTCTCAATGGTTTAACGCAATGTGAACAGTTTAACTAACGTAAATGTAGAAGTACGCGAGAGGAATGTTCAATTTTTACGCTTAATGCATGTATATTGACTGATGGCGACTTAGAAGGCATAAATACAATGCAACAGATGCTATAATTCGTTCAATTAATCCAAATAAAATCAATAGAGCAGTGACTGTATATTTACCATTCAAGACCACACAAGTTTTTATATTTTCTATAACAAGAAACCTGAAAACAGATCTATTGATCAAAATGGCCTGATAATTTTCATTAATCTTCGTAACATTTTGAAGAAAATTCTCCAAGAAGATAACTAAAATTAAATTGTTTCCATTTTTATAAAGCAGTCAATGTCTGAACTAAAAACTTAATTAAAGTAGATGATTTGGAATAACTTCAGTGCTCTAATCTTGAGATCCCCAATGTAAGTTAATTAAAACCAAATTATCTGCTTTAGTTAGGACTTCATGCAAGACCTCTTCCCCCCAATATGTACTAATAGGATCAGGAAGAATCCGTCGCGTCTCCTTAGACGCTGCTGCAATGTCTGTGTTAACTTGCCATTAAGAAAACGGAGGATGCATGCCACTAAGCAGTTTCCTTTCTTTTGCAAGAGCGATGATGATATCAGTGTATGGTTTTTGAGATCTATAAAATGACTTGTGAAAAAGTCTTTTAAATAATAAAATAAAGTCAAATGTGAAATAAAAGCAAAGATGAAATTAGTACTAAATTGGCAAAATCCATACAAATGTTAGGACGGATGGAAGAAATATGAAAGCATAGATTAGAAACAAATAATTGAAATTGAAATCTTATATTAAATTTAGAAGAACGTTTTCACTTTTTTTAACAAAAATGTGCACTATGTTCGTTTCTTTCTCACTAGAAAAATGAAGGCCAACTATATACACTATTATGGCAACTCCCTCGTATAGTCCGAAATGACATTTATTATACTGAAAAAAATGCAACTGAAAGCTAAGAGGATTTAAGAGGAAGATAAGAGGATTCAATCATTAGAAGCAAAATTGCGCGAAAGAGAATGATGGATGGGTGGAGCGAATTCACGGATTTGCTCTTCTATCACTTCTTCGCCATTTTCGCCGACTGAATTAAGATAATTATTCAACACTCCAAAGATCTGATTGTTTAACAATTGGAATCGACGAATTCTTTCGACCATTCGAGAAAGCTTCTGCAATTTGCGTTTCCTGCACAGATCTATTAACTGATTTCGTTCAAAAATAATGTATTACACAACTAAATAGTGGAACGAAGCATAAAAAATACTAAATATACAAATAAATGAATGTTACAATGCCATGAACGGTGCTATCTTTCCCATCAGCACGATGAACCCGTAAAAGATGATAACTGAAATCAAGGACTTCGAATCGGCGATGCTGATTCAATACAGCGATTATTGCACAACCTGCCCAGTGTAAGCCATCGCCAAAGAGAGCTCTGAAAACATTAATTTACAGTTTGAGAAAAAAGGTTTTTTTAGATTGAAGCAACAGTGATGTACAGAAGTGAGATTAATGTTTTGTTATTGGCTACCAAATTCGATGAGAAAGAAGTGGAAGAAGCAATCAACCAGGCAACTTACTCGATTAGTGGTTCAGTTGACGGATTTAGACCTTCTTGCCCTGAAAATGATGGTTGACAGAAGAAAAACTGGAGCGCTGACCATAAACGATGGAATTCAACACATTCATCTAACCACATCACCTAAATTAAGAGCCTTTTGCCAAAAGGTGAAATGTAACGAAAGAAGCAATTTCGCGCTGATCAGTGACATCCAAAGAGAAAATAAAAGAAAACAAATTAACAAGTTTTTCCAATATATGTAAAAGTTTTTTATAAGAATTAAGAAAATTCATTATTCTGAGAAAACTAAAAAGACTTTCTACATTAGATTTTACAATTTGCATAAAAATAAACCCCATTGCTAGGAAAGCCACCAGTCCAAATGGTATCCATTGATAAAATCTCCTTAAGTTTCAAAATAAACATCTCAAAAATATTTAATCCACAACAAAGACGTTCTTTCGTCAGCAGTTCTGC